CGCCCCACCGCCGCCGCCGCCGCCCGGCCTGACCGACCGACCGACCGACCGACCGACCGACCGACCGACAGACAGACCGACAGACAGACAGACAGACCGACAGACAGACAGACAGACCGACCCACCTCACGGCCGAACCGGGCCGCACCGCCACCACCTCACCACAACCTCCACCGCGCAGCACCCCCTCGAGCCGAAGCAGACACGACACAAAACCCACCCTCCACCGGGCGACCGCCACTTCTATAGGCTCAGCCTCTCGTCCGTCAAAGCCGGTCCCGCCCGGGACTGGTGGTGGCGCTGCAGACTACAAGTCCCGGCGTGCCTCGCGCGGGGCGGCCGCGGCGGAGGGGGACGGGAGGGCGCAGCGAGTCTGGGGGGCTCGGAGGTGGCGAGGTACCGGGGAGGGGGGCTCAGGCGTGGGGGACATCCAGGACTGGAGGGGGGTCCAGGAATGGAGGTCATCCAGATGGGTGGGCATTTGGGGGTGTGAGGAAATCCAGTTGTGGGGAAGGCATCCAGGATTGGGCGGCATCCAGGACTGGGGGGAATCCAATTGCCTTGCCTGATGTCTCCACATCCCGCCTGTCTCCTCCTGCTCTGCTCCCTCACCCCTGCTCTTCTTCAAGTTCAGAAGCAGCAAGAGTTCTTGCTTTTCTAAAACATTAATTGCTGCCCAACTTGTCTTTTCCCGCATGGCTCATCCACTGTCCTCCCTTGGGGATCGCTCTGTCAACAGGCCTTGGACTCATGGGTAACTTCCATCACCGACTCTGCCAAAATTCCCCAAAAGTGGGGCTGGCAAAGGGGAATCTAAAACGGGCTGAAGTGGCACGGACCAAGCCCAGGCAATGGCGGCCAGCAAAGCTCAAATGGCTGCACCACATTGCCCAGGCAGCCAAGGGTCCCACCACCCTCAAGGTGATGGATTGGCAATGTGCAGTGCTGGGGACCAGGCAGTGATGAATGCATCAGTCCTCAGCCAGCTGAGACACAAGCTTTGAGCACCCCATGGGGTGTCAGGACCTTGCCACCTCTGGCTCTGTGGACAAGGGACCCTCCTGTGCTACAGCAGGCTGCATCTAGCAAGGCTGGAGGTGATGATCTGAGCCACTTTGGTGCTGCCAGCCTGGCTCCATCTCCTCTCCTGTAGCCCAAGGGCTCATCTGCTGCCTCGGAGCCTCAAGGTGTGAATTCCTCTGGGGGGGCTGTTTTTCATGAGGTGTTTGTATCCCCACGGGTAAGGGGGTCCATGCTCAGCACTGCCCAGTTTGGTTTGTCTGCATGGCAGGGACTGAACACAGCCCTCTCTGTCATCCCATCCCACATCTTAAAGAGCCTGGGTGACCCAGGTAAGAGGAAATAGCAGAAAAAAGCAAACTGAAATAGCAGATAAAGGCAGAATGAAATAGCAGATGTCCTGCTGACTCTATCTGAGCTGCTGCCATCCCCAGGCTCATTCTCTGGGGGCAGGGGCCTGGAGGATAAAGCCTGTGGAGAAACTCACAGAGGAAGGGAAGTGGAAAGGGGGGACCTGTGCATACCCAGATTGCTCAGGAGAGAAAGTCGATTCCTCTCACTGCTGTCCACCATTGGATCCAAAGTGGTGGGTGGTACGAGTGGGCCTGATGGTGCAGACACATGTACCAGCAAAACAAGGCACAGCCCAGCTACAGGATCAGGGAAAACTCCCCAGACTACAACCAGAGTCTCCAGTGCAGTGTAATTACTGGGATTTCCCTCCAGCATTGTCACATGCTGTTCTGCTTAGGAAAGTGCTTCTCAAGGCAGAATTCCTCTCTAGGATGGAGTTTTGTATGCAATGAATCACGTTTTCCTTCCCAAGCCCTGTGCCTGTGTGAAGAGGCATTTCAGGCTGCGCCAGCACTAGGAACCAGCAAGTGGAAGGAATAATAATAAGGAAATGCAGTATTAAAAAGGGTCTGCAAGATCAGTCTCTGAATGATGTTTGGCAAAGGCTGCTTGTCTGCCACACAGGGTGTGTGGTAGGAATCAGAGAAGAGCTGAAAGCTTTAGCTACTTCTCATTCAAGGACTGATATGGATAATATGGATCTGAGGATAAATTAGAGCCATCACCTTATTAGCAGCCTCTTCCATGACGAAAGGCCAGTCTGTGGAAGATGACGCTGATCCCAACTTCTAATTAGAGGGATGACATAAGTTCAAATGTTCCTGAGCAGGATGTCTGCTAAGTCGTTGTAATGTCTCTGTGCACAATCGGAAAAGGGTGGAGGAAGACTATTCCATAGCAGAGACTGGAAAGGAAGAGGAGAGACATGGCAAATGTCCAGCAGAAGAAACTCATAGGCTCATATACTATCACAGACAAGGAGAAAGCAGAGTATAAGCAGCAGTGAGACAGCTCAGGCACTAGTTCTGCATGACACAGGGGCTGTCACGTCTCACCTGGGCTACTCAAGGTGTGGCAGAAGGTTCAGGCTCTCAGCTTTGAGCAGGAGTTTTTCCTCAGCTTGATATTTCACCATCCCCAGAGTAAGCCCTTAGTAAATAGACCAAACGCTCGAATGTCTAAATACGCTTGGCAGGTTCCCAATAGGAAGGTCACATTTACTGGTTCTCATGGCTCTGTGCTGTCCCCAGGGCTTTCAGGTCACTTGATCCCAAAGGACAGCCATGATTAGGACCATTGTGAGGGGTCTGGTCTCAGAAAGTTTCGAAGCCTGAATACTAGAAACATTATTTTCACAAGACTGTGTTTCTCACAGCAGTTCACAAATCCAACTATGCAGGTGTGGGAGGAAGGAGTGGGAATGTCATGTAGTATCTCCAGAGGAAACATGAGAGGGAGGTAAAGTGTAAATCTGCTCTGCTGAGGGCCAGGTAAGAATGGGTCTCCATGGCTCTGACTTAAGCTCCAGTGAGAATCATTTATTCAGCCTATTCCTCCACTAAATGGATCACAACCTGGAGTTATTCACACCTGGAGTAGAGAGAAAAACTTGGATATTGATATTCCAAGAGAAGATACTGTATTTGTACAGGAGTTTTAAGCGCTTGATCACTAAGGACAAAGATCTCTCCAGTTTCTGCAGCCAGGGATGTCCCATCAGAGCCTGCAGTGGCAGATGGGGAGGGGGGAAGGAGCTTCTGCCACCCTGGCTGTTTTCAGTGGTGTGCCCTTCTTTCCTGAACCAGGGTAATGGGAGGGGAGACTGAGATCTGAGGCAGAAGGTGCTGAGGTGCTGGCACAGGTTGTCCAGAGAAGCTGTGGCTGCCCCATCCCTGGCAGTGTTCAAGGCCAGGCTGGACACGACTTGGAGCAACCTGGTTTAGTGGAAAGTGTCCCTGCTTGTGGCAGGGGGTTGGGACTGGATGAGCTTTAACATCTCTTCCAACCTAAACCAGTCTGGGATTCTAGGATCCTCTTTGGCTAGCAGTGCCCAGGTAATACTGCTTCCTTCATGATGTCCTTAAGAAAACTCCAAGATCTTTGCAGCTCGTGTGTTTGCCTGCTAACACCAAGCACCTGTCTACAGAGCTTCATTCTCTCCTGATCAAGCCAGACTGAAGAGGCAGTAGCCATACCATGACAGGCTTTAATCAGCTACACATGAACCAGGGATGTCTAAAACTGGCTGGGCTATAACGCTTTCCCCTCTGTGACAGCTTCAAGTACAGAGATGAGGCATGGGGATGGGGTAGGAAACTCTTATCCTGCCAGTAGAAGTGCTGACTCCTAAAGCCCAGGGCACCTTGCTGTGGCTCCTTGCCCTCCTCCACCCACTCACGCAGGACTGCACAGGTCACCCTGTGGGGCTGAGCACTGCAGCCACAGCACATCCTTCTCTTCTTTCTCTATCCTTGGCTCCTTGGGCAGACAGAGGAAAGGGGGCAGGATCCAGCACCCATCTCACCTGCCGGTTAATGCAGCCAATGTTGGTGTGCAAAGCAGCAGCAGGTACAGTGATACCACATTGTTGTTTCAGTTGGGACAAGAGGAGCTGCAGACCTGTGAAAGTCTACTTTTGGGTAATGACTATATGGAACTGTCTACACAACAATGTATGCAGTGGGACCTCACACTCTCCCAGGACAGGGAATAGAAGATTCCCCTCAAAATGAGCACACAAGACCGGGACAAGGGAAAGCTGAGCCCAGCTGCATTGTGGTGATAGATAGTATCCAAAGCAGGAAAACTCTCCTAAGAGAAATGTGTCTGTAGTTTCAGGGAAGGAAGTACCTTCAAATGCCTCATATCTGAGATAACTTTAAAAGCTCCTGGACTTCAAAGTGAAGAAGATGAGGCACCACAGGGCAAGGCTTTCATCTGAGAAGCAGGGGATGTTCTGACCCTGTAAGGATGTGCAGCACACACTTCCCTGAGCTGGTTGTGCTGCTGCTCCAGCAGACCCACCAGCCAGAGCTGGGCCCAGCAAAGTTGTGTTTGCCTTACATTGCAACCTGCCAGAGCCCAAAGCTCCCAGATACCACAGCTCACTACCATATAAAGCCTGGGCAGCCTGGGAGCTGAGGCTGTGTGCTCTGCTCTTCAGTTCTGGTGACAGCTCAGGATTCATCTCACCCCAAACCACTATTTGCTTTTGAATAAAAGTAGATGAGACCATACATGCACAAACACACAGGAATCTGTTTCTGAGCCTCCAGCCCTGCTGTTTCTATGCTTGACACCTCCTCTGGTGCTGCAAAGGGGATGAATCCAAGCCCACCCAAAAAGAAAAGAATAAATATCCATGAACCCAGGTAATGCTGCTGTGCAGTTTTCAGTGTGTGACTCTACAAGCTGATCCACCATCTCAGGTTTGATTAGCGGGCTTGAAGGCTGGAGTATAAAATGACCCAAAATGCCTTCTGGCAGAATGCACTTCGGAGTTGTGGCTTTGAACCACCCAACCAGCTGTTTTAATATGGCCCCATGAGCTTACATGGAAGAATACACACATCATCACCCTGCTCGGGAGGTACCTCCTCGAAGACAACGAATGCTGGTTCTGTGATGGGTTAACCTTTTGCTTCAAAAATAAGCATTACCATATGACATGAACACACTGTAGCAGAAAAGCAAAATTGAAAAATAACATCTAAAAATACCTGACTTTAAAACCTTAGCCCCTCCAGGTTACCAAAGTCTAATTAAGGGGATGTAGCAGTTGCTGGCTCTGAGATGCCTTTGGTCCAAAAGCATTAGGATTCAATTTCTTTGTCTGACCATGTGTCTCAAGCTCTTTTGCTGTCTTTAGTCCTGCTTCTCTCCTTTGTGTTTCCAAGGGTAGATGAGCTCTCCAAGGAACAGCTTCTTGCAGAGAGATGTCCAGGAATCCTTGGGGTAACAGCTGTAGGTTGGCAGCCTGTATGTCTGTACCACGCTGCCATATGACAGAGGGTTGATCTGCAAGGAGAAGGAAGAGGGGTATCAGCAGTGAGAATGTGTTGTAGTACGATACACAGGCAGCTGATGAGGGCAAGTGTAACTTTTGTGTAGCACTGGCCTCTTAAAACATCAATACTGCTACTATCAAAGTGTAAGAATCCCTCTCTAACTAAAGCTGTATAGCCTTGTACAGCATCCTGAAACATGAACAAATAAAGTTTGGCAAAGGAGTATTATTGGAATAATTTTCCAGCAGAGAAGCAGGCATGAGCAGTAGCAGGATTTGGGAGTGATGCTCATTACAGGAGGGAGCAGAACTGTCACTTTTTGAGTTAGGAGGTTGCAGAAGGTGGAGGGATGGAGACTTCCCCCCACCAGCAGCAATGCTCCACTGGGGTGCACCATAACTCTTAGGAACTCCTCTAGAACATGCCAGTTAAGCCATAGCTCTTACGAACCTACGGTTTCAATGTGCTCTCAGCCCACAGCTATGCTTTAAGTTACCCCTGGTATCACCATATATCCTCCCCATGGAATGGAGTCCAAGCAGACAGGATCCATACCATGCAATGCCACTTTAAGGCTCCTTGACTGACTTAATCTTAAATTTGATGTCAACCGCCAACCCAAGAATGACTATGTCTGGAGTGTCTGCCTACAAACCCCCATGGCCTCTGATTATCATCACAAAGTTGCCATATTGACCTTCAGAAGCTGGGGAGGCAGGCAGACGTGTTACCTAGACAAGGGGAGACAGAAGCACATCAGATGTGGGAAAATACTCCAGTGGAGCACTTCAGGGTAGTCCAGAGGATTGAGCCAGTCTGGCCAACATCTGATGCATGAAAAGGATGCACACCAATAGACTGTCTCCAAAAAAGTAAACAGATTACACAGAAATGGTGGGTTGCAGAAAACAGACCATGAGAGATGCCAAAGTGAGACTTACAGTGCTAGAGGAAGCCTGGACAGGGAGGAGAAATCGAAGGACATCCTCCTCTAGTGAAAGGGCCCAGCTATGCTGGACCCAACCAAGCAGCTGTGTGAAAGAAGTCTATAATTCACAGTAGAAAATCCAGCCACAAAAAGGAAAGAGAGACAGCAAAATCCAGGCAGACAGTCACTACTTTGGCAATAGCTGAATATTTCTTCTGTCCACTGAAGAGAAACCAGTTTTCTGGGAGTTTGCTTGTGCCGCCAGCTTGCTCCAGCCATCTGGTGCTCATGGAGCAAGGGGATGAACTCAGAGAGCCCACAAAGGCAGAGCTCTGGGGAAGGGTGATGAAGTAAAGATGTCATTAGAACATTATGGATGTCATTATGGGACATTCTGCGTGACTGCAATTGACTTCATGCATTGTGGTCATAGAGAGGTAGCACCAAAAAATAAGAATAGAAAAAACAGAAAAAGACCAAAGAAACTTGTCCCTAAACCAAACAACAGTAAAATCTGAGTAACTATTTCTGCCTGTTTCCTCAGCTGTAGGCAAACCAGGATGTTTTAAGTGCAAACATGCTGGGGAAGGATAGGAACTGCTGCTCTACAAGGGAGATACACAGTATGTGTTTCTTTAACTATCAGCTACGTGGCCTGGAAGGTTTGGACACAACATTTCGCCTTGAAAACCATCTCAAGGCAGAGTGGTGATACTGTTGCCAACAGAGAAGTAACAAGAGATGGTTTTATACCCAGCACAATGTACATGTCTGCATCCCCCATTATAAATGCAAACAAATAGGCACCACAAAAAGCAACCATTTATGAGCCAAGTGGCAATATCAATTTATTTTATGCCATTTCTATAGTCCAAAGCCATAATATAACCCTGATATAATAGACATCCTTGGTTCTATAATGGAGCTGTTCCCTTTGCCCTTCCTCCTTCACTTTCAAAGCAACTGCTGAAGAATCTAGCAAAAGGTATTATAGATGACTCAAACTCGTCATGTCTTCTCACTGGGCTATCAGTTCACTTGAGACACATTGCCAGGCATTCTTCTTCTTGCACACCAAAATAAATGATTTTAAACACTACTGAGAATACTGAGCTATGGAAGACTTCCTGGAGAAAATGAAGGAGCACTTGGAAAGGAAATATCATCTTCTGCCTCAAAACAAGCATTAATGATTTCTAATCCATTACCAGCACACAAAAGACAGTTGTGAATGTATCAGTCACCTATAGCTTGAATCATTTGGGACATTGATGGCTTAACTTCATGAACGAAGATTTGGGAAGGGCTTTACCCATACTTACTACAAGCGCGATGATGACTAAAAGGGCAATGTGGGATAGGCAAATCTGGTTGGAAAAAAGGCTGCTTGGACATTCAGGATGTTTCCGAACAAGACTGTCATCTCCTGGGTCAATGTCGAGCAACCAATGTCCTGAACCGCTTGCATGTAGGGTTGGGTCCGCAGCTTCCAGTGCACCTTATGATCTGCCATTTCATCCCTCACCTGTTGCTGCAGGGCTTTGCAAGTGTGAGTAAACAGTTCCATGCAAACAGCCTTCCTGCCATCAAGCATGGCTCCAGAGAGCCACCATATGGGCAGGGGACAAAGCCACTGCAAAACTTCTAGAGAGGAACATCATCATGTACCAGAAATAAGAATTTTAGCCTATCATTTAAAAATAGGCTCTTTAGTTTGTCCTCTCACAAGACCCATGAGAAAGTTCAGCAGCGTTTCTGACACAAACCCATTTTTCATTTTTACCAGCACAAAGAGAGAATAAAGTGCCTTTACTGACTCTCTGCTCATTATTATTTGAACAGAAGGCCTAGAGAGGCATCCACTAAAGCACTTCACCTCTTAAGATGATGACTTATGCTATATTCTAGATAGCAAATGGATCTTTCTGCAGTGGTCCAAAGGAAATTCATCATGTTCCTATGACTCACTGTCTCTGCTCTCTAAGCTGTGATCTTTTTCCTCTGGAAAAGCTACCCACCTCATTTCACAAACACAGAAGCCAAATTTTCTGCTCAGCAGCTCCTGTGCCTCGTCTTTGGTGTCTGCTTTCCTTTTTCTGGAGTCTTTTGGCCATGGAGGATGGCAGATTTTGGTTCTCATACCACTACCCCGCCCAAAGACAGGAACTGGGAAGACAACGTGCTTGGGAAACGCTCATTTTGCCCTAGAAGACATCTGTTGAAGGAATTCCCTTTTGAATTGCTGCTAGCTGGTGTGCTCCTTCCATGCTAACCTGACCTCTGCTGAAACAGGGCTGGACGGGGGATGGAGAAAGATAAAGAACTGGGAACAGTTAATTCCTTCCCACACACACCCCAGCTATAAATTCTATACACCCCTTGCAGCCTCTCTTCCTGGGATGCAAAGAGCAAGAACAGTGACCCTGTTGTATTGTGCAAAGTCAGGAAATGGAACCTCACAATGAGAATTTCACTGCTGCCATCACATCATTTCTTTCCTTTAGCATCTCTGGTGATAGAGTGTGGAAATGGGAGGTTACAAAAGCACAGGTAAGCTTTCCCCATGCTTCTTGCCAGAGCAGCTAAGGAAAACAACAGGAGGCCCTTTCCTCTCTTGTCTCACCCAGGCACTCATCCTGCCAGCATCACAGAGCAGCTAAGGCCTTTATGCACATCTGGAGGGGAAGACCTTTTACTGGTCCTTTATTCTGCATGGCTTAGCTGCTGCCTTTTGCTTCTCTCAGTGTTCAGCAATTATTAAGATGAAACTGCACAGAGCCAGGAAGGAAGGTGATAACTACAAGAAATCTTAATTCCAGCAGTAACAGAGTACCATGTCTCCCATTTAGATCTCCTTTCACATCATGCAGGACTCTCTAAACTAAGGTCTCAAGCAGGGTGTTAGAAAGCAGCAGCCAGTCATTGCAATATGAAATGTATTTCCCTTGTTTCAACATTTTACAGCTGAAATATTTAAGTGCGGCCTTTCAGTGGGGCCAGTTTCAGAACTGCTACAGAAGGGAGAAGAACCTTGGGGATGGTCTGAGTGAAGCCTGCAGCAGGGAATGGCACATGGGTACACGTGGCTTACCTGCATAAGGAGGCGAAGAGGTTTTCCATCCTGCTGCTCCAGGACTCTGAACTTCACACCAGCTGAAATGAAACAAAACAAGGAAACCAAATCCATGGGGGGAAAGATCATGCCATTTGCTGCTCAGCTCTGCTGGCTGAGCACTGATTTCCTAGAAATGGAGCCTTCAGCCTCTCTTGATTTGTGAACCCTTACACAATTTTCAGCAGGAAGCAGAGATCCTCTTTATAGTGGTTTTAAGCAAGACAAATTATGTGTTTCTCCATTAAAAGCAGCTTGAAAACACAGTCCTAAAGCTAGAACAAAGCCTAGAAATCAGCCAGCCAGGCCTAATGATGACAAAGGGACTGGAAAAACCTTTCTCTTTTCCTGAACTTCTATACGAATGGGGACTCCACATAAACAGAAGGCAGAGAACTCGCCTCGAACTTGTGCTCATGCAGCTACAGCACATGTGCAAATCTCTCCCTCTTTCAGACTGAGGGAGGAAAGGAATGGCCTAGAGGCATTAAAAACAGCTCAAAGCAATCACTATTAATCCCAGCATTCAGATGTTTTTAACATGCTAACAACCCCATCAACATCACATTTATATTTCCTCTTGGATTTCCTATATTCCCAACACTGTAAAGATAAATAGGAAAGCTTTGGATTCCAGCAGTGATATAGAGCACATGAACATTTAACACAGTGTTTCAAACAAAGGTAACAACTAAGACTTGAGAGGCATTTTGCTTTGCAAGGTCTCAAATTCCTTCATAGAAGTAAAACCAATCCATCTTCTTCAAACCCGAACCAGCCAATGTGTCCCTATTATTCCTTTCTACAGGTAAGATGATGAGGCAAGAGTAATAAAGTGATCTGCACCAGATCAAACAGTGGCTCAGGAGTACACATAGAAACAAAACTCTGTGTGAGCCCCATTGTTATAGTATCTATGTTACCCTTCCATATTCAAAGCCGAAACTTCTTATCATTTTCTTCAAGCTTTGAATTAATTAAAACCATACAGTTTACTCCTGGGAGAGAATGCTCTTGTCTAGCAGAGAGAACTGGTTTAAACCCTCTCCCCACATCATAAAAGTGTTTTCTGTATAAGAGAGGAAGAATTTATCTGCATTCTGCTGCACCATATTGAAACATGGGCTTCCACAGTGGCTTCAGAAAGATGTTTGAGTGCCCTGGGTCTCAGTAAGTAAATGTGCTGGATGATAAAAAGTGTTGAAGGTGATTCATTGAGTTTTGGCTAAGAAGAAGTGTCTAACTCATTCCAGCAGCTACTCTTCAGGCAGGTAGTGTGTCAATGAGAGACAGAAACAAGTGGGCACTGAAGTTTCAGGTCCATCAGAGCAGAAAACCTTGCTTCTGTCAAGGCCACACACTTCCCTTCTAGATCTGCAAGCCAACAATCTCTTAGATTATTTAATTGTTCAAGAGTCTTAAACGTCTAAGAAAATACATGCACAAAAAGGCTACAAATTTAGTTTAGAATGACCTGTGGATTACTACAAAGCTCAGGAGTCTGCACAGAGAAAACAGGAAAGCTCAGTCTACTGCAGATCCCTCTAAGAGAGGAGTCCTGAACTATTCCATGATCGCCATCCAACTCCAGAGCTCAGGGTTATGCTTCTTCTGTACACAGGAGAGGTCAGGACATGAACCAATTTGCTTTGTTTCACCTGTCAGTGCACTAAAGCAAGCTCACTGGTTGTTTGGACTCAGTAATCATGGAGACACCACCAGGACAGGTCCTACAGAACCATGACAAAACTGGCCCCCAAATCTGTGATGTGACTATTGGGAAAGAGAAGTACAGAGAAAATGAACTGACCTCTTTGTGATCAAACAGCATGTTGGTAACTTGTGTGTGGGCAGAGCTTGAAACCCCTGAACCTTACTGCTACACCTTACTTCACACTATGAATCAACACCACCGTGTACCCATCCTAAACAGGGTGCCATCCCTTGAGCTGTGCAGCTCAGAACTCTTGCAGAGAGGACATCGGCTTTGATATATGTACAAAAGGCTTTTTAAAGTCCAAAGTATTTCACGTCACATGTGTGGAAAGAAAGCGTGGATTTTGTTTCTGGCGTGTGGATTGATCATTCACCTGTCCTGGCCCAGGCTTCAGCAATGTAATTTTGTCAATTCAGAAACGGACTCAAAGAACTTGGAGGCCACATGCCATGGCTGACTTGAGTTGAACTTAAACACTGCAGTAACCCCTTGCTGCTGGGAAAAACTATCCATTCATGTCAGCAGAACCATCTTAAGAGTGCCTGTAAAATCAGCTGCCATAACATATGCCAGAGCATGACTGATTCAAGTTCTGAGTCCGAACAGGGAGGCAAAACCTACGCAGTGAGGACATCAAGTGATGTGCACTCTCTAAAGTCCTTTGAATGTGATTCAACTGTTCCATCTGTTACCACTGCAATGGCATGTTTCTGGGGCAGGAACACAGGCTGCAGACATTCTCAAGAGATGCCTCCTCCTCCTGCAGTGTTCTCCCTTCAGATGCTCGAGGAACCAACAAAGAAAGTAAGTCAGGCAACAAACTCAACTGAGAAGACAATCCTTTGTCTGGCTGGAGGCTTACTACCCTGCAGTAGGTAGCTGGCTGATCTAAGACCGATGGGAATATACGGCCTTACATCTCTCAGTGGCAACAAGACTTCCTTCTACCCTACAACCTGCTGCTTAATGAGACAGTTGTCATCAGCAGCATTTCCTTTTCTCCAAGACAGCCCTGAAGGGTTAAGAAGTTTCTGCCAGGAAATTCATAGGAACCTGCTGAAGGCACACATGGAAAAGCAACAGAACTAGTAACATGGCTCAGCTATTCCATGAACATCAAGCCTGGAACTTCTCTGACTAGTCTGTATTTAGTGATGGTCAAACTCTCTGATTTTAAATTCTTGCTTCATGCTCTTTAAATGGACGTGAGATAATAATACAGTGCTTGAATTTCACGAAATTAACCAGTTAAACCCATTCAAAAAGGACCCTTTACTCTGATGGCAACCATGGTTGATGTTTACCAAAAGTGGAAAAAAAATTACTGGTTTCAAAACAGTGACAGATTAGAACCAAAGAGAGAACAATTATCTGAAATCTGTAAAGAGCTCTGAAGTTAATCCAAACCCCTCAGCTCAGGACTTCTGTTAGTCAAGCCAGCACAGTGCTGAAGCTGTTCCACTGATTCACAGCCACCGTAGATTCAGCCCTCTGAAACAGCAGATTTTCCAAGTGGTTTTGTAATTTGGCTTGTTTCAGAGCCCAAACCCCAAGATAAACAGCATGTTTAACCTCAGAACTTTAACCTGACCCACTACTCTAGAACTGGAGTTAAAAGATGAACTCATTTATACCGTGCTTGTTTGGATGTTGAAGTTCTGCATGTGCAGTGCTGAAGGACTTACCTGCGAGCCTGTAGGGTCTGCAGAGCCGAAGGAGGATTGAATAAAGAGGCAGAGAGTCAATCAGGTTCACCAGCAAGTAGATGAAGCCTTGCACAATCACCACCAGCAAACGGAGCTGCAGAGAAACAGTTTAGTAAGAAACTCTGGGACAAACAGAAGATGAAGCAGTTGCAAATTGGATGCTGGAGAGGGACTCTTCATTAGGGACTATAGCGATAGGACAAGGGGTAATGGGTTTAAACTTAAACAGGGGAAGTTTAGATTAGACATAAGGAAGAAATTCTTCCCTGTGAAGGTGCTGAGGCGCTGGTACAGGCTGCCCAGAGAAGCTGTGGCTGCTCCATCCCTGTCAGCATTCAAGGCCAAGTTGGATGGGGTTTGGAGTAACCTGGTCTAGTAGAAGGTGTCCCTGCTCACGGCAGGGGGTTGGAACTGGATGAGATTTAAGTTCCCTTCCCACCCAAACCATTCTATGATTCTATGAAATTCACAAGCTCATGTGCAATCTGACATTGTTGAATGCTAAGATAAATGTCCTGTGGTAAGCAAAAGCCTCCCAAAGTAGGTCAGATGTCTGGAAGTGCTGGGCAGCCAGATCCTGCACAAGGTTCCTTGACAATCTTAGCTGAAGGGTTTAACTGGAACAAAGCTCGTATGGCTGTAGAGGCTGTGACTTGCAAGGACCGGAGAGCTAATCAGCTTCCAATGGTCATAGTCTGAAAGGGAGAATTCAGGCTTCTATTACTAGTCACCTCCATCACTGTGTGCCAGTGAATGTAAATTCTCTCTCCAACACTGAACTGAAGCAGCTTATTTCTGCCTGAAGAAATCCCATGTAGAGCATCTAAGCAAGAGCACAGCAGCCAGAAATTAGCTTCCTGCTCAGTGTGCTCTGTCCCCTAAGTAAAGCACCTCCTTTTGTCAGACTGCATTTACTTTTGCTGCCAAGCTCATCTGAAAAGAGAGGGCCCAAAAAAGGGCTTTGAAACCATGTGATGGCCACTGTCTGTGGAAAATTTTGCTCTGGCAGGCCTCAGAGAGGGGCAGTCATACTGGGGGAAGATGAGAAAACTAAAGAAGCCCAACCCTCTGAGCAAAGCCTGGCTGAAAGCATTTAATAGAGCCAGTTAATTCCCTGAAAAAAGAAAGTTCTGGATCAAACTAGATAGGCCATCACCCCAGGCATGGGAAGGATTAATGATTTCCAAGTGAAAGAACAGCTTGTCCACTGACCAGGATTTGCTGGGAATTCCCTTCGTAGAAACAGAAATGCGTATCCTGAATTCCACTTGCTTGGCCTACGTGGGCTGTGTGAGAAGCCTTCCTGGGACACCCAGACAAATTTATATCCTCTTTGTGGATGACAATAAATGACAAGGAAACCCTTATTTTAAGATCTCAGAAGACAGCATATGATTAACTTCAAGGGTTAAATCTTACCAGGGTAAACACCAAATAATAGAGTGCAGTTGTAGGCAGGAGGAACAGCAGGATTGTGAATAGCAAAGTGCCAATAAATAACTAGGGAAAAAAAAGAAACACAATTATTAGGGAGCAATGGCAAAATAATATAAAAGAGAAATAGAAGAATAGGAAACTGAGGTAAGAAAAGTTTGCAAGGCTCCTTCACATCGTTTTTTTCCTCCCTGTGTGAATAATGCTGTTACCTTAGAATCATAGAATAGTTAGGGTTGGAAAGGACCTTAAGATCATTCAGTTCCAACCCCGCTGCCATGGGTAGGGACACCTCACACTAAACCATGTCACCCAAGGCTCTGTCCAACCTGGCCTTGAACACCATCAGGGATGGAGCATTCACAGCTTCCTTGGCCAACCCATTCCAGTGCCTCACCACCCTTACAGTGAAGAACTTCCTCCTTATATCCAGTTTAAACTTCCTCTGTTTAAGTTTTAACCTGTTACCCCTTCTCCTATCTCTACAGTCCCTAATGAAGAGTCCCTCTCCAGCATCCCTATAGCCCCCCCTTCAAATACTGGAAGGCTGCTATGAGGTCTCCACACAGCCCTCTCTTCTCCAGGCTGAACAGCCCCAACTTTCTCAGCCTGTCTTCATATGGAAGGTGCTCCAGTCCCCTGATCATCCTCGTGGTCCTCCTCTGGGAGGAGAATATTTTCAGTACTCCTTCTCTCATTGGGCCTTTTTAGAAGGCTCCCTATTATAGGAGTATATTTAGAAAGATAAATAAGCTGGATCCTGATTTTTACCTTTACACACAATACTCAAAGTTTCCTATTTCAGGCCAGCTTCCTTAGGAAACAAGACTTAAATTTGCCCACTCCCTATCCCATGAGTTTTAGAGCCATTGCTCAGTTTTTACCAGACAAGTGTGTAAGGGTACAAAGAAGCAGAAATTTGGTAGGGTATTTTGTGGGGAACTGAGATGTACTTTTGTTCCTCCTTGTTTTAATACCTGGTGAAAAGCTGACAAAATTTGGTTGCTAAATACTGTCAGCAGCAGGACTTCTGCCTCTTTCAATGATGGATACTGGGAGAGAGAAAAAAGCTGGAGATACTGGGGTGGGGGAAGCATCATTTTGAAGATGGAGAAAAATCCCTAGGAAAGTAGGTGTCATGAGATCCACTGCCCACAGAAAGAGTTATTTACTCTGGGACAGCCCAGTTGGCATAAGTCTAGCTAATTCCAACTAGGAGAAATGCATATTTATGACAAATAGGGATCTGACTCTTTAGTTTTCAGTCACCTCTTCCAGAACAGAGACCACAGGAACACAGGGCACTGCAAACAAACAGATCATGCTCATGGTATATTAGGAAAGAAAATAACCCAGAGAGCCATGTCACAGAGGTGGATCAACATCCCGGCTTCACACACGTAACCAAAAATAGATCACAACCCAATCCATTCCCTTCCCAACAGTTGTTCCTCCTTCCTCTGTCACTCCACTACAGTTTATTAACATTTCCAAAAGTCTGTTAAAGGTCTGCCTTGAATGTCCCTTCCCAGCCAGGACAACAACATCATTCCCATTGGCCTCCAGAGCAGCAGGATGAAGCCTGAAGTGCCAAACCAATTCTCCTCAAAGAATACAGGGACCAAGCACTGACGCAAACAGTGTTCCTGGCACAGTTTGGCTTTTCATCACCAAAGAAACAAAAAACCAGCTCCTCCACTGTGGTGTGAGAAGGTTGAATGGAGCAAGAGGCTTTGGCCCTGGAACTCACCAAATATTACAGTATTATTTTAGTGATGTTTGCAACTGCTGGCATGGAGCAATCGAGGCTTTGCTGAACTCTTACTTGGAATTTCAGAAATTAAACAGAGCTCATAGCATTTGGCAAAATCTGCTGCTCAAGGGAGAACGTGTGGGCCCGGCTCCAGCACAACGTGAATGGAATGGGGCCTTTGAACAGACACGGTGGCACGTCTGTTACTGTGGCAATACTGCTGGGCTCCACTTATACGCTGCTCCCTTCAAAGAAACCACCCCCTATGCTCAAGCTGTGAGCATCTGCAGCACCACAGCTCACCAGGGTGCCTGAAGGTGCTCAGCACCTGCTAGAATTAGGCCCCCTGAAAAGGCAGAGCAGTGCAGGGCTTGCTGCAGAGCTGCAGAGCACGAGCATTTGGCTGAAGCTCTGTGTTCAGCTCTGGGACAACCACAGAAGAGGAACATGGAGCTGTTGGAGTGAGCCCAGAGGAGGCCACGGAGATGCTGCAAGGGCTGGAGCAGCTCTGCTGTGGAGACAGGCTGAGAGAGCTGCGCTTGTTCAGCCTGGAGAAGAGAAGGCTCCTTAAGGGGGAGACCTTAGAGCAGCTTCCAGTGCCTAAATGGGCTACAAGAAAGCTGGAGAGGGGCTTTGGACAAGGGCCTGTAGGGAATGGCTTTAACCTGCCAGAGAGGAGACTGAGATGAGATCTTAGGCAGAAGTTCTTCCCTGTGAGGGTGCTGAGGCACTGGCACAGGTTGCCCAGAGAAGCTGTGGCTGCCCCCATCCTTGGCAGTGTTCAAGGCCAGGTTGGACTGGGCTTGGAGCAATCTGGTCTAGTGGAAGGTGTCCCTCCCCGTGGCAGGAGATTGGAACTGGATGAGCTTTAAGGTCCCTTCCAACCCAAACCAGTCTGAGATTCTATGAAGATCCACAGATGCAGAGTGCTGGGGGATATGCTTATTCTGGGCATCACAAAGCCTCCTGTGGCTCCTGTCTCACCATTACCTGAGGTAGGATAGGACTGTACTGCCCATGGGCAGCATCCTGCAGCGGTGCTGCAGCAGTACCTGGTCCAAGTCATAGGAGCAGGAATCCACCCGCTGCCGAAGGACATTCCACTTCTTCCCACGGAACAAGCGCCAGAGCGATGACAGGCCGTAAATCTTCAGGCAGTAGAGCCTGCACAAAGAGAAGATACTGAGCACCAATGCTGAGAGCTACTGAGCTTCCACACAAACTTCTCATCACTGCACCCAGTGCCCACCTGCTTACCAGCACTGCAGAACTTGGGGCAGTAAAAGAAATCATGCCAAGAATAACGCACATCAAATACTAACGGCTCAGTCAACTGTGTTTTGCTGCCCCTGGCACGGGTAAAGCAGGCTACTGCAGACAGTCCTGGACCACTGGAGGGCAATGGCCATGCCATGCCCCATGCCATGCAGGAAGGCTCTCCCCAGCGTGGCCCCTACAAGCAGCAACAATGACCAGCCCCATGCCATCACCTCCCCACAGCAAAGGAAGCAGCTGCTTATTCCCCTGAGGTCACCTCTGTCTCTGCAGTTTAGGTCTGCCCTGTTCCCTTTGCTTCACACCCCTGCCATGGCAGGAGTGGTGAAGGTCTTGCCCCACACTTGAGTCAATGCAATTCAATTTTGCGTCCTCAGCACTGAGGACTGGAGCCCCTGCAACTTCTTTAGTAAACCACAGCTTCAAACATCCTTAAGGGTGGGAAAAGATCAGCTAAATGATGCTCTGAGGGCTGGAGTGCCTCTGCTCTGGAGATCGGTTGAGAACTCGGCTTGGTCAGCCTGCAGAAGAGAAGGCTCAGCAAGAAACCTGGAGAGGGGCTTTGGACAAGGGCCTGTAGGGACAGGACAAGGGGGAATGGCTTTAACGTGACAGAGGGGAGATTGATGATCTTAAAGGTCTTTTCCAATCTGTTTGATTCTATGAATCTGTGGGTCAGAACAGAAACTGAGAAAGCCTGAGCTATTAAAGCCACAATGGTTAACCTGGCTAGTTAAGGCACAGAGGCTGCTCAGATTTCAAGCCAGCGTTGTGAAAGCAGAGGCAAGGAGTCTTATCCAAGAGAAGAATCTGGTCTGAGGAATACCAACTGCTTCAAGGAACTGGCAGGGTGCCCTCAGCCTGGCAGGTACCACTCTGTGCACTAATCCCCAGGTGGGAGGGTGCACAGGACATCTCCAGGTTGCTGGTACACACCTGCCCCATGGCTCTGACTAAGGCCACACTCTCCCCACTCACCCTGACATGACAACAAGCAGTGTTCCTGCCTTAGCTCCTGCCCCACCTCCCCCTGGCTGCCTGCACACACATGCCCGCTCTCCTTTCACTATGTGCTTTGTTTCAGAAGGGGATTTCAGGCTTCATCAACACCTGAACCAGCAAATTCTTCTGGCAGCTGCAGGAACACAACGTGTTGTGGTGGCTGCATTGGTGTGGGTGACTGCTGTCCACTCCTGGCTCCCCATAGCGGGCATCAGGCACAGCATGGACAAGTTGGTGCAAGGTAACAGAAAAGCAACCAGCTGAGAAAATGCTTTCCCTCTATACAATTAGGAGCAGACAATGACACTAAACCTGCCATCTCTGCTCCGTGATGCAGACAAGAGCCTCTGAAGCAAGGCAGGGGCAGGGACTTCAGGGCTTCTCCAGAAGTACAAGGCTTCCCCTTTGCTCCTCCTCTCCTCCAGCTCCCCTGGAAACTACTGAGCAGGATGAAACTGCTATAAGGTTGACTCAAAGGGATGGGTGAACTGCTTTCATGTCCTCTGCCTGGCACATAGTTTCATTTTTCCAGGTCACTACCACAGCAAATAAATATTTAAACACAGAAGAACTGAAAGGCTGCTTGTACAGCTGTGGCCACATTTCTACATGCATAAAAGAATGCAATAAATTAATTGCTGGCTAAACTCTGAATTCAAGAGAACTGCACCAGGAGTGAATGATCCACAAATTAAAGACATGGCCTGAGTGTTTGCAGAACCACAGATTGGTTTGGGTTGGAAGCATTTCTATGGCCTCCTCTGACTCACTCAAGCAGGTTCTTCAGTGGCACTTCTCTTCAAACAAGCCCAAGACACATCAGAGAGATCACCTCACCTGGCTCCATAGACATAGAAGCAGTAGATGTGGAAGGTCAGAAGTGCAATGATGTCGGAAAGAATGCAGAGAGCCATGGTCAGGCCCAGACAAGCTGACAGACCCACATACCAGAGGATCATCTCAATGAATGGGGACATCAGGTGTATGTAGCCTAGTGAACATTGCAGAGTATCAGTATTTGACTGAGATAACTTCCTGTTAACATTCTCAAAAGACTCTTTACCCTCCACCCCCCTCCCCCCCGCTCTAGAACATTGCTCCAGAAATCATAGCTACGAAAATGTGGAAGTAAAACTGGCAAACTCCTTTAGATCATAGCCACAGCTTCTCTGGGCACCCTGTGCCAGAGCCTCACCACCCTCCCAGGGAAGAACTTCTGCCTAAGATCTCATCTCAATCTCCCCTCTGTCAGGTTAAAGCCATTCCTCCTTGTCCTGTCACTACATGCCCTTCTACAAAGCCCATCTCCATATTTCTTGTAGGTCCATTTTCTGTTTAGGAAGGCCAACAAAACCTCTCTTTCACCCCAGGTTTGTCTCTGGGGAGCAGCTCTGTGAGGAAGGGGAGAACATGTTTAGCTTGAAAGGAGCTAAACAAAGAGAGTCACCTTGTTCCACATGTGATTTACTCTACTAGATTTGTGTTCAGGTTCCTAATTACATTTTTAACTGCACACATCAACCTTCCCTGCAACCATCCCTCTCCTTTTGCTGTTCCCACACAAGCCACCCCATATGGCTTTTGTCAAGTAAACCAGATCGGAGGCACAGCCTCTTTCATCACTGAAGTGGAGCATAGTCATAGAAACAAGACGATACTTGATTGGTGAGCACTGTAAATCAGTAAAATAACTAAGAAGTACATGTCCATCATAATGTACTCCATCAAGAGGCTTATCAAGGAGAACAGGGGTGTATTATTTCAAGGAGGGACTTGAAATTAGAAAACTGCACTAAGCTGAAGGCAGCACAAAGGTTGGTATGTGCATCCTGGGAGCACACTTCTCATCCCAGTCCTATCAGCTGCCTCTTATATGGCAGAGACCACAAAAGCCTAAATAAGACTGAAAGCCTTCCCTTGGACACTCATCACTAATGGCACAGAGAAGCAAGCTCCATTGTAAGGTGCACTTCTTGCAAAACATCAGTATAAGCACTTTACTTAATATGCATGACTTCCCTGTGTGGGAATCCAACCTTGGCTTGAGTTTCCACAGCAGGAAGACTCATAGACAAGTCTGTACTTGCAGTAGTGCATTTTGATTCATTATCCACCTCTAGGCAAACATTAAACACTCGGGAGGGAAGAGATGAAAAGGGAGGCTGAAAAGTTAAACTGCACTTACTTATCCAAAGATGGATGTGGTAAAGGAAGAAGCGTCCCAAAACCTGGTCCAAAGCTCGGTTCATTTTCAGTCCAGCTGGAGCTCCCATTAGCCACTGAAGTAGGTCCTGGAGCTCTTCAGCTACATGCTACAAACACATGGAATGCACTGAGATGAAAGACTGCTGCTGCACTGAACATGTCCAGTGCACTGCACATGCTGCCCCCCAGAGTGTTCTTACTACACCCTTCAAGCCAATGGGAATAAAAGGCCAAACAACTACTTTACAGACAACTAGGTAAATCAGAAATGCACCATTATTGCTTGTTTACTGAATCCAAATGTAACAGCAGAGAGGAAGCTGAACTGCTTAAATGGTCTCAGTGCTGGGAATATGAACCTAGTGTTAGTTTATTGCCATCTCTGGTAGGTGGCCAGTAGGATTTCTTGGCGTAATGAGAGTTCTTGAAGTAGATGGCAAATGCTGGTGCCCAAATCAAGTTGTTTAGAGAGTCAGCTGAAAAGTCAGAACTGAGCAGGTAACCTATGGGTCAGGCTGTCAGGATTTTAAGAGTGGAAGACAGCAGTGCACTCCTGGGCAAAAAAAAAAACTTTTTTTTTACAAACAAATAGAATCCCAGACTGCTTTGGGCTGGAAGGGACCTTAAAGATCATCCAGTTCCAACCCCCCTGCCATGGGCAGGGACACCTTCCACCAGACCAGGTTGCTCCAAGCCCCATCCAACCTGGCCTTGAACACTGCCAGGGATGGGGCAGCCACAGCTTCTCTGGGCACCCGGTGCCAGCGCCTCAGCACCCTCACAGGGAAGAACTTCTGCCTAAGAGCTCATCTCAGTCTCCCCTCTGTCAGGTTAAAGCCATTCCCCCTTGTCATATCATAACCTCTATGTGTTTACAGCAGGGTAGAAAACACAATTATACAAATGTATTTAATATGTAAACAAACTTTCTCAAAACCCTGTTGTGTCCTGGGCAAGACTAACCATGCTATATAGCACTGCTCTTGCCTACTACTGCCTTGTCTCTTGATAGAGAGATACCCACAGCATCTCAGTAAGGAAGAAACCCTCTGAATAACTGAGAAAAAGGCCTTATTTCCCTTATAAACCTCCATCCCTCATTTGAGGATGAAAATAGCTCTTCCCCAAATCACTGTGGGCTTAGACTCACAATTTCTGGTGATTTCATCCAGGCTGATGTATTTACTGATTTTCTCTTTCCATCCCACTCCTCTGCTGGAGGTCCCCCTTGCAGTGGACAGGGCAGAAGATGTGGTAGCTCTGTTCCTTGGTAGTTTGCACCTAACCTACTCACCGAAGCTGAAACCAGCGGTGAAGTCCATTGACCAGGCTGTGACTGGGGTAGCTGAGAGTGGGAACCTCCAGCAAACAGCTGGGGAACATACCTGGGAGAAGTGCCCTCTCCCACTGACCCACATGAACAGGGATTGTGAGTAAAAGCTTCAACCTCTGAAAATCCCACTTATGCTGCTTTATAAATAGACTGGTTTTAATATTTAACATGTTGGACTGGTAACTTAGAAAAAGCATTTGGGGATTTTAATGAAATATTTAAATGCTTGAAAGCAGCAAGGCTGGGCTTCAGCACTGAGTACTTCTGGAGCTGCCAGTCCCAGAGGTGCTACTGAATCCTGACAGGGCACAGGAAGGTGCCCTGGCTTGATCTTGTTTAGCAGGGCAAGGCACTTCAAAACAGAGTCCAAAGGCATAACCTTGCAGGAAAACCAGGCTGTTTTCCTGCCAGATATCTTAGGACTGATAAATAGCAATCAGAATCAGGAAAGGTGACTGGGAGCCCAGTTCTCCTGTTGCAATCATGAACATGAAGCCAGTATCAAAAAATAAGATGCAGTGAACAGGAAGCATTTCATAAAGCCATGTAAGGACATTACCAAACTGGAGACTGAAGCTAACAGATGAGAACACTGTGGAAATAATTTCTTTACTGTCATGCTCTTCTGTCTAGTCTCCGTATACAGAGGGTCTAATACTGATGGGACATGGACGGAAAAGGACAAAGTGCACTGCAAGTGGGATACAGGTGGGAATAGGAAAATACTACATCCAATTACCTCTAAGCCCCAGTAATACTCCTGGAGGCAGGATCTATGATAAATATTTAACTGTTTCAAAGAGATTCAGCTTAAGAGACATCAGCAAGGATAAAAGAGGTGAAGGAGGAAGAAAAGAAGATGGTTTATCACAGAATCCTAGAATCCCAGACTGGCTTGCGATTCTAAGGAAGGAACCTCAAAATTCATCCAGTTCCAACCCCCTGCCATAAGCAGGGACACCTTCCACTAGATGAGGTTGCTCCAAGCCCTGTCCAACCTGGCCTTGAACACTGCCAAGGTTCAAGCTTCTCTGGGCACCCTGTGCCAGTGCCTCAGCACCCTCACAGGGAAGAGCTTCTGCCTAAGAGCTCATCTCAATCTCCCCTCTGTCAGGTTAAAGCCATTCCCCCTTGTCCTGTCCCTACAGGCCCTTGTCCAAAGCCCCTCTCCAGAAGGGTATTTTTTTAATAAGCAGTTCTTTTGAAAACAGACAAATATAGCACTATGAATCAGGTATGTTCGAAGGAAGACTGTCCTGCGGAAGGCAAACCCAAGGACAATCATTGGGAAGCCTGGTGGGATTGAGAGGAAGGAGGAGAACAGGAGTTGTGAGGGTGCACATTTTCCATTCTTGGATTTGAAAGCCTGCTCCCAAATTCAGTCCTTCCTACTGCACACAGCCCTTTGCCAGTGACTCCCTAGGTGGTTCTGAATCACATCTGCCTCATTTACTGACAAAAGCAACTTGTTATTACAGTCAGCCCAGCACAGCTCATCAAGCTGTGAAAGTGGGAGCTGTGTTCAGCGGTGTCTTGCGCATCAGCAACAATTGCTAAGTGCTGATTTGAGAACCATTGTACCAGGGGATGACAAATGCTGGGTAGGGAACATGACCTGATCCTCACGTCAGCAGGCTCAGCTTGTGACCCTGGCAGTTGTTGAGAGCCAAAATAACCTACCTGCATTTGCTTCCTTCCAGAGAGATGTCTACTAGGAAAAAAAACAAGAACTGCATCCAGTCCCCACACAGCTATCATTCTATTCTGCTCATGTTAAAATCAATCAAACCAGTGAGGTTATACATTATAAAAGCTTAGTTTGTCAATACTAAAATCAATCAAGCCAATAAGGTTAAAATAAGGTTATATATCATAACCTTAAAATGTATAATGATCTTACAATATACATAATGTTCTATTTACTAACAGATACAGAGCTGTAAGGTCAATGCCACCATCAGATCTCAGGCACGTATCAAAAGCAGAATATGAAGGAGCATTAGGGATGGAAAAGTAACTCATTCCACACATAGGAATGTCTGTCTTACTGAATTTGGCAACACATAAGCACTTGAGAGAGCCCAAGTGATGGGAATAATGCGTACCAGATGGACACTCAGCAGCAAAGAGGAAACCTACTGCTCCATGGCTAGGGGGAGATTTTGCTGTCATCCTGGAAAAGAAGCGGTGCTGGCTTGCACATCACATGCTGAAGTCACTGGGATATTTTGGGATTACTCAGATCTGCATTTTTTTAAGGTTTGCACATAATGCATATAAATCAATGCCCACTAAAGGCAGTAAAAGGACTCCAAATGATTTTATGTCCACAATCTTGAAAGAAAAAAGTAAGGTTGGAAAGTTAGAGAAGTTCTAAGTGGCCTGAACTGATAAGCTTGGAGAAGCAGAAAGGCACTGACTGACAACCAGGGAGGAGTTAGCACTTCCAGGAAAATAAGTAAACAGGTCCTAGAGATAGCAAGGGAATGAAGTCTGTGCAGGAGACATGGTGAAAATAACTGACATCATGATGCGTGAGTTGAGTGACAGATGAGCTAAATACCTGAAAAAGCAGCTCCCACAAGGAAGCCTGTCCAGGAGAGGTGCTGGGATTGGACACACCTTGAGCATGAAGAGCACCCATCTGCCAGAGACAGTGGACAGATGGAACCCCTCCTGGAGCCACCTGTGCAAACAGGAACGTGGCCAAAAGCCACTTCCTCACATATTTGTTAAGAAATCAGATTTCTGAGAGCTGGACACTCACAGTAATCCCATAGGGAGAGCTCTAGAGAACTTAAACTTCTCCTGCTGAAATATCTGTAAGGGAAAAGACTTTGGAATAAGACTCAGAAAAATAATTTTAGTGTATAGTTCAAATACAAGAGTAAGTGTATTGCAAGAATTGTGGTCCTTTCTACCCCCCCCCCCACTGCTGCTGAAGAGCAGCAATCCCTGAAACATGCAATCCTTAGAAGTTTCACCATGAAAAATAACAAAAGGAGCAATAATCGTGACCCACAGCTGAGCTGGACACATACACACTTGTGAAAGCACAACATGAATGAGAATTATCAGACCTATCTATGGCTTGTACAACTAAAAGGTTAAGACAAGCAGCTCATCATCAAGGGAAATGTGAGCTCTTCCCCCCCCCAAAAAAACAACAAAACAATAGCATAAGTAGGAAAAATAAATTGTTGCTGGAATTCTCTAATCAGAATAAAATCCCTCCCAGCCAAGAAGCTGGAGAAAGAACAAAGAGAGAACGTTCACAGCTGCTAGGAAGAAACCGATGGAAAGATCCACTTTTGCTCCCAGAAATGAAAAGAAAGTGGGCAGAGAAAGGATTAGGTTGTGCAGCCACATGGCAGCACTCAACACTGGCTGCACTGTATTCCCAAGACACAGAAGCTCTTAAAACGGAGCTGACTTCAGATCAGTGGTCTGGTGCCCAGCCTCTCAAGTACACTATATGTTCTGTACTGACACTAAACAGATATATTGGAGTACTGCACCTTAAAAGAACCACTAGAAAAGCAGCCTAGTGTGAGTCAGACTTGCTCTTCATGAATTTATGCTGATGTGGAGGGATCTTACTGGGCAAGAGGAGCTATGGCTGAGAAAATCACAGAACACGGCAACTTTTCCTACTTCATCATCTGCACACCAGAGCTCTGAGACAGGGTTTCATGTGTTTGTACCCCAACTAGCTCATGCCTTTGGATTTCCCCATAAAATTCCTTTCCATGAGCACTGCTGCAGAGCTTATCAAGTTTGGTTTTTAAGCAGTTTATCTCAACCCAGGTTACAGTTTTCTTCCACCCTCCAAAATCCCCTACAGGAACAACTTGAGGACACTTCCTGTCGACTCCAGAATAAAAGTGTTCTGGCTCGATAAGCACCAACCTGCAGCTGCAGATCTCTGGCCAAGCCCTAACTGTTACTTTAGGAGCTGAAGCGGCCCTGGTTAAACATCTAATTACTATTCACTGCACATGCAAAGCAGGGCTGTGTTTCTTTTCAGCAGCCCCAGCAGGCTTGATTTGAAGATTTCGCTGCTCTTGAGGAGATGTAATCTGCATGACTTCAGACAGGACTCTCTCTGAAACCCTTGGGGTTAAGGCATTGCCTCCTGACCACTACCCCAGAAAGCAAGAGCTGGTCAGTACCCCCAGCAGGTCAAAGAGAAATGGTTTTCGCCAGACTTACATCAGCCACAGGGATGAGAGTGTCAGCAAGGTGACCAATTCGGTTCTTTCTATACAGCCAGGAAATCAGTAGTATCCCCAGAGCCACATCAATCAGCAGAGAGACAAAGATGTTGGCTTTCCTGCATGCAGGGTGAAGAGAAAGGGTGTTAGAGAAAAAGGAAGGAGAGTGTTTCATGCTTCAGTGATAATCGTTGGGTTCACTTACACAGGATCTTTAACTTCCCAGGGACACCAGGAAAATTCACTGAATGGACACAGTATAGAGATCTTTTGACTTTCAGTGGTGTGCTGCTACTTCAGTGGCCAAGCATGGAGCCACTCAGGGTCTGCCACAAACTCTTTCTTAGTAAGGGCATCAAAGAGTGGGATTGAAGCTACAAAAAAGAATGTCACGCAAAGTGTGTATATACATACACATGGGGGGGATTTACCAATACTAGGGCCAACAGCACTTGGGAGTATCCACATGGAGATGCGGTGGCTTTCCAAGAGGTATACTTTAGTGGAATGACTAGTTCATGTAATAAATAGTGTTTCTAGGTACATGCATGGACCCAGGAGGGTTTCTGAACTGCCCCTTTGCTGCTAAGAGGTTCTGAATGAATTCCACGATGTGAATTATTCAGGAAATCAGCCTAAACAATCACAGTTACTTTTGGCCTTCAAATCTGCTGATCTATTTTAAGTGTTCCCTGGGAGTTTATTACTGCAGGATCAGAGAACCCCACAGAACAAGCCTCACTGTGTAATGGCTGTAGGGCATTCAGTATCTGCCTCAGATCTCTGCCTCTCCCTGTTTCACTTTCTGTGTTGTGTTTGCTGTTTCTGTTACACTGACTTTGCTACTGTGGTTGGAGTCTCTGCTATGCAGTTACTGCAAGAAAAATTCCCCAAAAGAGTGGGTGGAAGTGGGCAGCATTTAAACCTTCCTAATCTTATGGGAAGTGCCACTGATTGCAGTTTTTGGTTAACAGCAGCACATGTGAAAACACTGAGCCTGTGGGAGTACCCATAGCAAAGCACTACAAACGTGGTACAGAATAAGCTTTCTGTGGGCAATATCCTAGTTGCCTTTCCCAGGCTAGAGAAAAAGGCACATATCTGGTATAATTAATGTAAACAGAGTGTAAAGATCTGAAACTAGCAGGGACTAGAGCAAGGAAGGTAGCATGACCTGGTGCAGTGAGGACTCTGTAGTGATCTGTGGGCACAGCATCCATGGTTTGGGCTCCCCAGAGGGGACAGGGCTAGAGCAAAGATGCGCATGTCTTTCTGTGTACTCCATACCTCATGAGTTGAGTCTGGGTTTGAGCCTTCTTGTTACTGCTGATGACCTGGAGGTGCTGGAGGCGATGTCCCAGCTGCTCACAAGTTGAGAGTTTGCTCCATAAGAAAGACAAAGGCCAAAACTTGAGCACCCTGCAGAAAGAGCATGGGAATGTGCTTGCTGTTGCCACACAGCAGACTGGCCAGCATGCAAACTCCATGCAATACATGCAGTGTGAAGTTAAGGTTGTGCAACCAGAGACAGTGTCAACATATTACCATTACAGAGTATTAGATGTTAACCGCTTTCTTAAAAGTTAACAGAATTAAGGCAGTTAATTCTTTCCAGACCAAGGCATCTAACGCAGACAACCCAATCTCTCATTTCCATTCTGTAAACCCACACACCTTGCTCTTCCAAGGAAGCCACAAGGCAATCCTGATTCCACCCTGTACTTTGGATACATTCCTGGGATCGCACACTGCTCTGAGTCTCCAGGAGACTGGAGTCAAGGCAGCTGCCTGTACAGCACAACCACCCAACAACACAGCGTAACTGCTGCACAAACCCCAATCTGGCGTGAGCTTGGTGTAACAAAAGCTGCCCTCCTCCTGCAGTTTCTGTTCGTTTCCCCTCCTCTTTTCTCTTTTTTCCACTTGATGCTTTTTTTCTTTATTACTTCCAAATTCCTTTCTCAGGGTCTTCACTTCTACCCTCTCTCCACTGCCTTGCCAGGGGTGACCAGAATTATGTATCTAACATAACATTTAGCACTTAATTAGGTTTCAAAGTTAACATCCACATTAGGCTTGTAGGGGAGGAAACATTCACATGGCTCTCTTATTATGACTCAGAAGAAAAGTACTAAATAACGCTCAATTATGTTGGGGAGTTACTTCTACTACCACACAACCTATAAAGAAAGGAATGATGGTGATTTGTGTAATGACACCTCTGGATCAGGCCGGTTAAGAGGGCACAGCAGTGGTAGAGCAACACAAAGCACCATGTTGTTTGTGGGGAATAAATATGGATGGGGATGTAATTTGGATCACTTCTTTCCTGTACCCAGTGGTTGTTTCACTATTTTCACAGTGTTCTACGGTTTCTTGTTAAGGGTCCAGGAATCTCTGCTCACTTTTAGTCACTTTCTTCATCTCTCTTACTACTTTGGTATATTCCAAATGCAGCTTACATTCATTCCAAATGCTAAAATTATTCCTCATATCCTGCTTTCCTTTGGAATTGTACAGGTGTTCGGGTCATGAGTGATGCCCTAGCAAAAGGTGCATGCCTTCCCCAGATTTCACCTGGAGGACCAACCTGATGGCCAGCAGCACAGTGCCTTCAGGACTGGCCAGGGCAAGACTTAAGATGGGCAGACTGGGTCTCCAGCTGCTCTTTACACATTTATACACAAATCAAAAGGGTTTGGCTCGTTCTAAACTGGAGTTGCTACCCCCGTCCTCCCCACATTCTCCTGAGCCCTTTCAACTGTTCTTCATGCAAAGTTTTTGTCAGCATAAAACCAACCAGAAGTGCCCCCTTTGCCCTCCCCATTCAGGTTCCAGACACATTGGTTCTGAAATACACGCAGTGTGCTCTCAATCATTCTGCTTAATTTGAGACCTCCAAGTTACCCAGCTCTTCATTACAGCCTCCCACCTTAGAGAAAAATGAATGCACTGCTCTTCAGCTGCCTGTCAGGAGACGATATCTAAAGTGGCGGAGGAAGGAGCGCGGAGTGGGGGAGGGAGGCACAGGGAGAATGGCACTGGCCACTGATCTCACAGACCTGGGGTCGCAGATCCACCAAGACATGAGTGCAGGTAAGTCTTCTCTTCTTATTATGTCCTAGCCCAGTGGTTACAGATTCTGGTGTGGCAAATCTTTGCTAGAGCAAAGAATTGCACTTGAAATGCAAAGAAGGGGAAAGGAGAAATGCTCTACCTGGGAGGTTATTTCCAGATGGCTGAAGGTGAAACATGACTGCTCAAACCAGCAGCTGTCAGACCACCTCAGTTCAAGTAGAAAGCAACGGCTCTGGGGCCCTGTGCTAAACGCTCACTGGGCTGAGAGCCTCCCCATCCTCTCCCATCAACGTGTGTCTCACCACCCATTGCTGCTCCACAGCTCTCCAAGACAGAGGCAGCCAGATGTGGGTAACCCACCGAGTAGACTCCCTGCCCGAATGAAATGGCAGGCTGCTGCTCTCTTCTGCCCGAAGAATGTCTTGTGCAAGCAAGAATGATTTCCAAAGCAGCCTCATCCCCAGCAGCACTCAGTGACATGTACACACACTGCAGCCTGCCAAGGGTGAGCACAGCTCCTAGATGGAACAGGACAGGCCCACAGACACAGCAGAGGTCTGTGCTCGTCTGTACTGTGATTGACTCTTCTCACTTAACATCAGGACAACCTCTATTCCACTTATGCACTCTTTGGAAAGTAAACACACACACGTACTTATTTAAATAAATACAGAATCACAGAATCCCAGGCTGGTTTGGGTTGGAAGGGACCTTAAAGCTCATCCAGTCACAACCCCCTACCATGGGACACCTTCCACTAAGTCAGGTTGCCCCAAGTCCAACCTGGCCTTGAACACTGCCAGGGATGGGGCAGCCACAGCTTCTCTGGGCACCCTGTGCCAGTGCCTCAGCACCCTCACAGGGAAGAACTTCTGCCTAAGAGCTCATCTCAGTCTCTCCTCTGTCAGGTTAAAGGCATTCCCCCTTGGCCTGTCCCTACAGACCCTTGCCCAAAGCCCCTCTCCAGCTTTCTTGTAGCCCCTTTAGGCACTGGCAACTGCTCTAAGGTGTTCCCAGAGCCTTCTCTTCTCCAGGCTGAACAACCCCAATACATATATGTAAATATATAAATATATATATATATATAAAATAACCCAAATATACAAACATACCGCAAAAAGCTCAGCATAACAGTTGCAAGATGTGCTACAGTAGCTCTCATATCTAGGGGTACTGAGGAAGAAAACCAAAAATATTTCTTGCATGGTCACTTCCCCCTGTGCACACTGACAGTGTGCTGCCAGAAATTCTCCCACTTGTTTACCATGCAGGATACAGAATGGCTTGTATGACTATGTACTTTCAGAAGTACAATGGAAAACCAACCACATAAAACCCAAACAAACAAACAACCAACTCCAAAACAGTGACACTGTATTGCTGCATTATTTAGGCAACAGAAGATCTTTGGAGTATTTCCAGATATACGGAATTTTAGCAATAAATTAACACAGCCTGAAGGAGTAAATCTTGATTTTCCAATTCGCTTTGTGTTCCAAGAGTGAGTGGATTTTTCAGCTATCAGATGAAAAGCAATCTTTCCAAATCTGAATCACATGCACATATAAAACCTCCATTGATCACAACTCCTGGCTGTCTTTCTGCTCCTTGCAGGAGCAGTGCCTGCTTTCCAGATGAGGAACTGGAGATTAGGGTGTTGGTAAATGGTTTTCTTTTTTACAATGAGCACACAGAGTTTATTGCCTCAATACTAAATCATCATGATGTCCCCAACAGCACACTAGAGACCTGCACTGGTAATGGAAACCCTGCACAGGAGTCCCTTTGAAGAGAGCCTTGCAGTGGCCACCCCTTAGCACAAGGTGGTGCCGGAGAAATGCCTTACTTCGAGATGTACAGGACTTGAGAGCACTGGGTCAGCTTGGACGGATGTGAGTACTTGCTTTTGGAGATTCCTAATGCTGCTGCCCTGCTTCCCCAGCGCAAATACTCAACAGTGGCATATCCAAAAAGTCCCAAGCCTCTGCAGCATGAGAGGACATCACTCATCTCTTTCTTTAGCTTTTCATAGCTTTTCAAAGATTAATATCCCTTAATATCACAAAAACCTGGGAGAGAAAGATGATCTGTGACCAGAAGTTCTGTGACCAGAAGCAAAAAACTGGTAGAACTTACTTTACAGGATGTCCTGTTCCGGCACAGGGAGAAGGGGATTGGAAAGACTCTTGAATGTAACATCTCGAACCCTCTCTGCCTTGTATTTGTTGGCACAAAGGAGGTTGTACCCCACATCACATGCTGAATTGAACCAAATTACATTAAATTACTTGAGAAGGTCAAGCAGGAGGCACAAAGCCAGGTGCTAATCTCTGTTCTCCAAGACTTATGTTTTAAAACACCTGTAAGGTTAAGTAAATGTTGGCATATTCTGAAGTCAGAATAGCTCCCAATAACCTAGGTAGCAGCTGTCTGTGCCCAACCTGCCAGACTGAGCTTGAGCTTCCAAGATATGCTCAGACTGTGGCCTTCTGGAGACCTGTGAGGTTTGGGCTTAACCTCACTCTAAGCCTGGTCTGAGTCCTGACACTGATTGAGGTGGGAAAGCCTGATCTCGAGACTAAGTGCCTATGCACTAAAGGATCATCCCGTTTGTTGGTAGTCACACACAGCCCACAGACAGCCAGAAAAAGAACCTTCAGAGCTCTCCACAAAGTTCTGACATATCTACTGTTAACGACCATTAAAGCACAGTGTCTACTGAACAGTCCCAGGATCCAGTGGTCCCTGATCAGGTTTGGGTTTGACCCCAAATCTCTTCCAATGCAGTAAACCAAAAATGGGCAGGTTTCTCTTTGTGTCCCTAAATGCGTACCCCAATGTGTCAGAAAATCTTTGCTTATGAAGTGTTTCACTGTAATTTTTTCATGACAGTACCATACAACTGGAAACCTGTTAAAAGATTCCATTTCCATACCCTTAGGTTGTACTTGAGAAGATTTATCCATGAACACAGTAGTAGCTGTTATCCAAACGTCATATCCAAAGTGACCCCTTGCAGCTTGGAACCTCAACGCCGCTCTCTGGCACAACCTCTCTAGGCAGGCTGACCTTTATAATGAGGGGCTTCTACCCATAAAATCTGCTTGGAACTCCTCTTTAGTGCAAGCACTTGGCACATGTTACATCTGAAGCTTCTTATTCAGTTTCATGGCTGTGACTGGGATTTCACCAAGGATTCTTGGAGACCAGTGCTCCCTGTAACCTGTTCTAAGGTGCTGAGGTTGCAACACCACTATCTGTCAGACAGATGATGGATTTAGACACACTATCTGCTGATGTTTCACAGCAGTGGAGGGTTCACAGCTGTGACTCCCTACTCCCTGTTTGCTATCAAGCCATTGAGGAGATCCCCATGTCATTCTGCCAGCCATGGAATAGCTGGAAAACCAAGGTTTCAGCTGCAATGAAACTGAAATGGGGCTGAGCTACCCCTGCTGCAAATGGGGAAAAGATCAGTGCCTCCCCAGAAAGCCTCACAGCTCCTTGAAGAGCTCTACCACATTTGAAGAAGCTTCTCCAGACAAGGCCAAGTGCAAGGTTCTGCCCCTGGTTTGGAGCAATTCCAAACACAAATACAGTCTCGGGGAGACTGGATTGAGCAGCTCTGAGGAGAAGGGCTTCTCACTACCAGAGAGGAGACTGAGATGAGCTCTTAGGCAGAAGTTCTTCCCTGTGAGGCTGCTGAGGTGCTGGCACAGGGTGCCCAGAGAAGCTGTGGCTGCCCCATCCCTGGCAGTGCTCAAGGCCAGGTTGGATGGGGCTTGGAGCAACCTGGTCTAGTGGAAGGTGTCCCTGCCCTTGGCAGGGGGTTGGAACTTGATGAGCTTTAAGGTCCCCTCCAACCCAAACCAGTCTATTATTTAACATTTAGTAGCAGCTCTGTGGCAGCCTGTGTCCAACAGAACAATTTAGTACCAACTGTGTTTCTCACTAGAGTTGAGTAGGAGCCCTGCAAAAGCCTAAACATGAACCACATTTCCATTCAAAACGTAAGCTGGCAGATGCTGTACCACTTACCTGCTCCTGCAGATTCCAGAGACAAGTGAAAGCAGGAATGTCAGCAGCATGCAGGCAGGCACAGAGGCCTGCTTCATCAGCTCCACAATGATACTGGCTTCAGCGCCATCTGACTGCCAGTGGGTCAGCTTGATGGGCCCATCGTCATACCTGTCTGTCATGAAGAGTATCTTACTCTTTGCAACTGTGTGGAAGATGGCAGAGAGCTTTGAAGCATCATCTGTCTCGTGGTCAGTGGAGGTAGCTGTGTCCAAAGATGGATGCAGATGGGAAAGCATGACTTTGCGCTGGTCATAGTATATTAAGATGACTTCTTCCTCCTTAGGGTTGTTAGAGTGTTTCTGAAAAGTAGAACAGCTCCAGAATTTGCTGTCTCCCTCTTTGCTTATCTGAATCCACGGCTCATGGGAGAATATTGTCCCAAGGTCTTCCAAGAACTTACTGAGATTCTCTTCTTTCTCCTGCTTGCTGTTGCTCCAGGAGCCGAGCACAGAAACACTGACTTTAGTCACTTGCTGGACTTCACTGAGATACTGCTTCACCTGGAAAGGAATGAAAGGGAAATGCACCACGGCAAGGATGACAGCAGAGCTCTGCTCTGAGAGCCAGCGGCCGACCAAGATGCCACTTTCTGCTGAGGAGCAGCATGACGGGAAGAAGACCTTAAGTACCATGGCAGTGATGCTGGAAGAACGGAACACCTGGCAAGAAACACAGACATAAAGCTTGAGAATGGTGATTAAATACAAGGAAAATGGGAGCTGACTAGAGGACTCAGGGGAGCAACCAAGTTCTAAAACACTAAGTCCAACCACCTGCACAATGACACTGGTGACAGCCAACAGATAGACATGTCAGAGAAGCATTTAGGAAGTTCTTGATAATCTGCATTCTTTGAAGTGAGGGGTGGTGAGCCTGGAGTTTCTCAGCAAAGCCCTTCCCTGAGTCCTGGAGCAGTCCTTCACCACTGTACACTGATAAGCACAGCCCATCGGAGCAGCCAAGATCAGAATCCCATCCAGGCTCAGATCTTGGATCTGAGACTGCATGTGCTTGAGCACTTCCTAGAGCAGGGACTACATTGTAGTGCACCATGATGCCTCAGGAATATTTCCTCCTACGACTGACAATCAAATACTGGGTTATGCTATAAAGTCAGATAATTTCAGAGCCTCCTGTGTACTCTTGCCACAAACTCACTGAACAACCTTGGGCAGATCACTCATCTCATCTCATCTCATCTCATCTCATCTCATCTCATCTCACTTCCCCCATTTGGAAACAGAAATAATTTTGTCACAAGGGACTATAGTGATTAACTGATTGAAGTTTATGTAGCTCTTTTAATTCATTAGATACAAGACCCTAAAAAAGGAGAAGAATCTGTGCTTTATCAGTGCTCTTTATCTACAATATTTTCCTTTGTGTCATTAAAACACATCTCAATGGCTTTATAAGATTTAGAAAAAGGAGCTTTGAGGCAGTTGACAATGTCTCTTTAAATAAGGTGGAGGTTTCTAACAGGAATATAATCGCTGTAAGGAGGGCGCTGGCGCAGAACAGTCGGAATCCAATGCCCATTGTCCTTTCCTGTCCTTCAGAGCTTTGTTAGAGCTGTGAAAACTCTGCAGGCCCCCGGGCTGGCTCCTCTACGAGGGATCAGTCAATTGGAAAGAGCAGCACAGAGGGTATTTACACCGCACACAGAGGATGCATAATGTGAAGGTCCCTGGTGGGTTTGGGTTTCTCTTTTTAATACAGGACAATTGATCCAGTAAGTCTCAGCACCTGGCAATTTGCTCCATGTGGAGGAGGCAATGGGGAAGTAGCAAAGGAGAGTGATGAACCTGCTCCTAGCTCCACAGTCCTGTGAAGCACAGCAGTAGAAAATGTCTGCTCACGGATGGGTTGTCAGCCCCTCCAGGCAGCAAGGTGAAGCTTCCTTGGTGCACAGCTCACTCCTCCCAGGGAAAAAGCACCACAGTTGCAGTATCTGCCAGTAGCAGTAGTTTGGATTTTTTTCCTGGGATTGAATTTTCCCTTTTCATAGAATCCCAGACTGGTTTGCATTGGAGGGGACCTTACAGCTCATTCAGTTCCAACCCCCTGCCACAGGCACGGACACCTTCCACTAGACCAGGTCTTTCACCATCCCCATAGTGAAGTTTTTTCATTCTTTTCCCCTAAGACCCACAGACACACTCTCAGGAAAAAAGAAATAAATTATATGAATACAGGGGCTCTGAAAGGTGAAATGTGACATGTTCATGCACACATATGCTCAGAAATTATTTAAAATACTATGTTCAGCTAGAGTGATAACATTCTAGCTATATTGCAGTACCAAAACCTTACAAGTTTACCAATAACTAAATATTCCAGAAACTGAAATTGAGCTCAGTATTTTAAAGAACCTAGGGAAAAATTAGGAAAATAAGTTCTTGAATGAGTTTTTCAGTATTTCTATTTTAATTACCAAACCTATGACCAGTAATATTGGACAGTTGATTTTTTTATGCTTCTTTTTCCTCAAGAGATGTCACAGCTTGAGATTGTTATACAAGAAACTTCCAGTGTCTCTGCACAGCTGACCTTCTTAAAGGCCTGTCCATCCATAAGACATACCAGAGAAGAATTATCAACTGACTGAATTCAAACATTTATTTTTCACTGAGGTTTTTGTTTTATAGATAGCCATGGATATCTGGGAAAACTTCTCACTAAGGACAAACACTTCTCCTCTGTATCTTGTCTAGTTTGTGAGTTTTTTTTCTTCCACCTTCCCCAACCTTTTAATTAACTTAGTTTTATGCTACTTTGGCTATGGCTCAGGTCAAATAATACTCAAGCACATCATCTTTGGCTGCTGTGGACATTATGGGCAGAAGAGAAGAATCTTGATACAATTTTCAGGCTGCACTAAACACCTTGATAGTTGCAAACCAGCTGATCAACTATTCATATGTTAACGTGGCATAAGGCAGTAACAGGGGAGTTCAGGTGGCAAGGCTGGTATTCCCAAATCCACAGCTGGTCGTCCAGCCTACCTTATCTATTTCAACAGACTGTTTGAAATTCAAAGTCGACATTTTAAATGTCAGCACAGTCAATTGTTACACTGCTGCTTTTAAAAGAAATATCATAGAATCACAGACTGGTTTGGGTTGGATCTTTAAGATCACCCAGTTCCAACCCCTGCTATGGGCTGGGACACAATATCCTACACCAATATGCTTAGTCCCTCCTCATAAGGTGCCTAAAATCTTCCAGATCATCCCATTTCTGCTGGAAACCCCCACCTCTTCCCAAGATGCCACAGAGCATCAATGCAACAATCATGGGCACAGCAAAACCAACAACGGATACCACCTAGAATGCATTTATCAAAGAATCCCAGACTGGTTTGGGCTGGAAGGGACCATAAAGCTCCTCCAGTTCCACCCCCCTGCCATAGGCAGGGACGCCTTTCACTAGAGCAGGTTGCTCCAAGTCCCGTCCAACCTGGCCTTGAACACTGCCAAGGATGGGGCATTTAATTTGCTGGTTTATGAACAAACTGAAGAAAGGACCCAGGACTGATTCACTTCAGTTTTTTAGGCAGAGATGCAAAGACAAACAGCTGGATGTGCCCTGTTCTCCTCACACGGGCTGCTGTGTCACTGTCACCATGCCAAGGGCTGCTGGCCCTTTGACTGACCCATGCCTGAGCACAGAATCATAGAATCAACTAGATTGGAAAAGACCCTGAAGATCATCAAGCATCGTGAGGTCTCCCACAGGGTTCAGGCCATCAGGCCAGGAGATACCGAAGGCAGCAGCAAGCTGGTCTTGGCTGCCCCAGGGGTGCAGGAGCAGGACTATATGCCCACAAACCTCACCAGTTTCGGGCTCATCCATCTTTCTGTGGGTTTCACACGCGCTCTTAGGGCAGGCTGAGCTGACAGACAACAGCACCGCCGTGCCTCCCCCCGACACCCTCCTCCCAGCCTAGGGCACGCTGAGCCACCACCCCCCCCGGCCCTGGGCTGCCCCCGAGGCCTGCAGGACCGCGACCTGCCGCCCGGCCCAGCCCCGGGCCGCAGCAGCCGGTAAGGGCGGGCACCGCAGGCCTCGGCTGGAGGGGAGCCCCAGGCCGGCAGAGCCCCACTCCCCGCACCGGCCGCGCGCCTACCACCCGCTCCGCCGCGCCCGCCGCTTCCGGGGCCGGGCTGTGCACTGCGGCGGGGCCGCCCGGCGCCGGGGTCCGGGTTGTCGCGTTCCGCCCCGTGCCTCGGTCCCGGCCCTCCCTGCCGTTTCCCCCGCGTTTGCAGGCACCGCGGCGCGGCTCTGCCCCGGCTCACCCGGCAGCGCCGATCACCGCAGCTCTCCCCACGGCTTCCCGCGGCGCCGAAAGAGGCGCGAGGCCGCGGCTGAGCCGGCCGATAAGGAGTGCCCGGCCCTTGGGCAGACGCGCCGTCACCCGGGCCTGGGTGCGGCATGGGCTCGCCTTCCCTCACGGAACCTGTTGTATCCCGTTCCCCAAGCCTGGGGACTTGCCATCCCTCATGGGACCTCATCGTCCCCCATCCCGAAAGGCTGGGGACTCGCCTTCCTTATGGGACCCCGTTGTCTCTGATCCCCAGAGGCTGGGGACTCGCCTTCTCTTGTGGAACCTCGTTGTCCTTCATTTCCAAAGGCCAGGGGCTCACCTTTCTTCACAGGACCCCATTGTCCCCCAGTCACCGAAGGCTGGGAACTCACCCATGGGTGCTGGTGCCCAGAAGGTTCCCTCCCGTCACCCTCAGTGAGAGGGGGTCGGGAGGGTGGCAGGAGATCAGGGGGATGCTGGGCAATTTCAGGGGGTCCTGCATTGAAGGGGGCAGGTGGTGTGGAGATGGGGGGTGCAGACCCTACGGGGCAGGCTAGAGAAAAGGTTTGGGGTTTTTTCTTGTTGGGTGCCACAGAACTGGAAATAAGGCAGGGGACGATGGGTTTTCTGGGAGCGCATGTGAAGGGAGGGGATCTAGATCTCCAGCCTGGTTTGGGTTGAAAGGAACCTTAAAGCTCATTCAGTTCCAAGCCCCTGCCATGGGCAGGGACACCTTCCACTAGACCAGGTTGCTCCACGCCCCGTCCAACCTGGCCTTGAGCACTGCCAGGGATGGGGCAGCCACAGCTTCTCTGGGCACCCTGTGCCAGAGCCTCAGCACCTGGTGGTGCAGGCTTATCCCTCTTCTGCAAACAAGAGACACCCTCCCTGCTGCTGGGCTCGCTCTGCAGAGGGAAGGTATGGGAGCGCACTACAGGGTCCTTTGTCCTTAGCACCAGACAATGTGTTCTTTTGCTCCAGGGACAGGCAGGAGAAGGCATCCTTCATGGGATTCATGATGGTGACTGGACCCTGGTCTCAGACACAGGTAAAGGCCGTGGTGTTGTGCAGCACCATGTGCGTGTCAAGGGCTGGAGAAGGGATGAGGAAAATGCCCTTCCCTCCATCACCACACCCTGCCAGAGTGGCCCTGGCCCCTGCTGATAAAGGCTCCCTGAGCCCTCCTCCAGGGTCAGAACAGGACCGCAGGGCAGGCTCAGCCGGAGGACCTGGACTGGTGTGAGCAACCCTTCATGCTCAAATCCCATTTACTCCATGTAGTAGTGGTTGCTTCCCTGTAGAGGTGGAACACAGAATGAGTTACCTTCATCTTACCCTTCTCCCAAAGTCTGCTGAAAACCTGGTGTGCCTGATAGGCCATGAGGTGCCAACTCCAGCCTGACCTTACCCCTCAACTCATACTCTGGCATCAGGAAGGTGGAATCATGGCCATATAAAACCAGTGTGCAGGGAAGAGAAACAGTTATATTAGCTTTGCAAAACCACACAAGGGCATGGTGCTAACAAGTTTGCCAAGGCACCAACTCTTGGCCAATTATGAGTCCTGCTCAAGTCCTCCTCGAGGTATGCTGGTGGGTCCAAGAAACTCAGCCGGTCTAGTCCTTGCTTCTGCCATCTGGAGAAGCTGGAGGGCGATAAGGCAGTCAAGTAGATGCACTATTCCTGGAGACATTGAAGGCCAGGCTGGATGTGACTCTGGGCAACCTGGTCTAGTTGAGATGTCCTTACTTATTGCAGGGGGTTGGATTAGATGAGCTTTGAAGGTCCCTTCCAACCCCAACCATTCTATGATTCTGTAAGAACAGGGATAATGCCCAGCTGTGGGAGCAGTGGACCCACTCACTCACTGCCCAACAGCAGATCTAAAGCTCAGCACCTGAGTGTTAGGATGGGGTCACCACATGCTGCCCCAGGGTTGGTGGGCCTGTACAGGGGCCTCACGCAGTACTTAAAGACTTTGACACAGTTCTCCCCTGCGTCTGCCACGAGGAGGTGACCAGAGGAAGAGCAAGCAACACCAGCTGGCCTCCGCAGCCTTGTGGACACCAGGCAGACAGGAGCTCCGTGTTCTGGGAACAAGTGGACTGTCCGGAGCTGCTCATCTGCCACTAGGATGCTGCCAGCCACATCAATGCAAACCCCGGCTGGGTTACCAAACCGGTGTCCGTATTTGCTGCTGAGGGAGAAGAGGAGCTTGCAGCTGCTGGTGAAGACCTTGACATCTCCACACTCCTCACTGACCACAAATCCTCCACTGGGTGCTGGACTGATGTAGCGAGGTCCTTGCAGATTGGACACCAAGTGGACGTTGAGTGTCTTGAAGGCATGGTCCAGAGCAAAGCTGTGGACTTGGCCTTGTGCATAGTCTGCTACCAAGATCCTGCCCATGGAGTCTACTGCAATACCCCTGGGGGAGCCAACCTTTCTGATCTTTATCCATTCCCCCTTGGAGCGGCTGGTGTGAGGGTTGAAGACCCAGATGACTCCATTCATCATGTCAGCCACAGCCACCCTTCCTGTGTGAGTCACAGTCACATCTTCTGGCAAGAAAGTGCCACTTTCCTTCCCCATTTGTTGGCAAGGCAGGGACTGAAGTGTTTGGCCTGTGCTGCTGAGGACATGGACCCAGGGAGCACTCTCAGCTGTCACGTAGATGGAGCCATCCAAGGAGCAGTGGATTCCACATACTCCCCCATAACGACTGCCAGTTGGGTTGGGGATTTTCCGAACCAGGTTATCCTGGCAATAGTGGAGGAGGTTCTTAATGTTGTCCAGATCTCCACATAGGCTTTTGGCCTTATCCACCAGCTGGTGGATGTGGTGCTGTGTCACCATGCCCATGCCAATCTGGTTGCTCAGCAGTGGGCTGGCTGCCTGCAGTGTCGTGTTTGACTTTAGCTGCAGGGTATAGATGGTTTTCAGAAGCTTCTCCTTTTGCTGGCTGGTTTCCAGAGTGTTGTCCATGACAAATCCCTTGTCCCTGTTTGGGGGAAGCAGTAGGACCATTATTGTCCTGCCTGCTGCCATCTCTGGGGACATGCTCTGATCTCAGGTGCCTGCTGTCTTCCCAAGGTCAAGATGTTGGTGCTAGGCTGGATTCACTCTGATGCGACAGAGACCAGATCCTAGCCATAATAGCTAATGACGTGCTCAGGATATAAAGACAAATAGGGACCATGGCACAAAACTGACAAAGAGCCAGCAAGCTGGATCTGCAGCTGGAAGAACCAGCCAAAAAGGTCCACTGGCTTCAAGGACAGCTTGGCTGGTGCTAGATCTGGCTAGAGAATTTATGTGTAAAGGAAAGCCCTGTGTGAGCACACTGAATGGGATCCCTGCCTCTCCAGTTCCTGAGATTAGTGGCTTCTCTCAGGTCTTTTAACTTCTTAACCCTGTAAGACTTATCTCTCCAAACCATGTTCTGTCCATGCTAACACTTTAGACAATGAGGATGTCTCCACCCTGCGTGGGTCAGATGTGACGCTGTCCTGGGTTCAGCAGCAGCAGTCATTTTTCTCCTTCTTGGTAGCTAGTGCAGCACTGTGTTTTGACTTTCAGCCTGGGAACAGAGCTGATAACAATGGTGTTTTAGTCTGACCAAGGACTTTCTGAGCCTCATGCTCTGCCAGGGAGGAGGGGAAGCCGGGAAGAAGCAGACAGGACACCTGACCCAAACTGACCAAAGAGGTATTCCATACCACAGCACATCAGGCCCAGGATGTAACGGAGAGTTAGCTGGAAGGGCTGGGACTGCAGGGTTGGAGGAGGTATCGGTCGGAGCTTGATCGGGCTGGGGGCATGAGTTATCAGTCGGCTGGTGTGAGGTGTTGTGTTCTCTTCCCTTGTTATTTCCTTTATCATTGTTATTATTGGTGGTAGCAGTAAGTGATCTGTGTTATACCTTAGTTACTGGACTGTTCTTATCTCAACCCGTGGGAGTTGCATTCTTTTCGATTCTGCTCTCTGTCCCTCCAGGAGTAGGGGAAGGGAAAGAAGGGGGGGAGTGAGTGAACGAGCTGCCTGAGTGGTTTTAAACCACGCCACTTGCCCAGCACGTGCCTTTGTAAGGGCAGTCCCTCCCCATCCAAATAAGCTTATTCCTGAGAAAGCCAACAACCTGTCAGGAAGAAGAAGGGAGGTGCTGCTCTGAAGGACACAGTCAACCTACGCAGTGTTTTCAGACGCGAGAGCCACCATGAGAATCACAGTTTCTCTTTTGCCCACTCTCCCTCTGTTTTAAAGCCATAAGGAATGTCCTTCAGAATACAGAGATGATAGCCTGGCTCTGCTGTGTGCTTTCCAGGGCTGGCTGGAGGTGGTAAGAGAAATGTTAACAGAAATGTGGACTCTTTAAAGTTCCTGGAGAGGCAGAAATTACCTTTGCTTTAAATGTGATTATAATTAATATCACAATGGACACACTTGGCTGTTCTTAGTTTGCCACTGTTCCACCTTTATCATCCTGTGTCCCACGATTGCCTAGTATCATGTGCTCTGCACTGCCTGAAAAAGTAATGGTTCCCAAGCCTCAGCCGAAGGAAGCTAGGCTGAGGCATACTGGGTGCAAATTGTCACCATTGCTAAAAACAATCCTCTGAATACTTGCAGAGCTATCAAACACAAATATGTGATGATGGGGATGAGAGTGACTGAAGAGGAAATCCAATTTCTGCTGCATTCAGGGCCAGGGAACAGCTGTTCCCCCTTCTTCCCCAAAGTGGTTGTGCTCTGTGTCACCAGCAGTGGAGCCCTCCACCACCTCCATGACAGCTGGACAGAGTTCAAAATGCAAGACACTGGATTTTACAGATGAGGAAACTGAGTCACCACAAGGGAGCTAACATGCCAGCCAGAAAGAGTGTCCACCTCCTGCTTCCTGGGTGCAGGGCACACAAAACTGCCCTCAGCCCTGTGATGGTGTGTCCTGAGCTAAACCTGACCCCAAATTCATGGGTCTAAGCCCAGAAAGAGGGCCTTGATGCTCTCCCCAGCACAGCTCAGGCCAATGACCACATGCGTGACCATGAGCCCAGCTCAATAGGTCTGTACCTCTCTGTCCTGATGTCCTGGGTGCTGTCCGTCCTCCCACCAGCTCCGTCCTGCTCCCCACTGGGCTCAGGGCTGAGGGATATTGTGTTGTTAGTGACGGACGATTGCCCTTGAGTCTGGGTAAACACAAAAGCTCCTTGTGCTGACAACCAGATGCAGTGAGACAAGGGCTGATCTGTGCCGCTTTTATTCCCTGCTGATCTCATGCCTAGAAAGAAAGTGCCTTTCCCCCAGTATCAGTCTGTCTCCCACCTTCCTGCTCCTGCCAGAGGGAGGAGAAGCCCCCAGGTGCCCATCTGCAGGGAAAGTTGGGGGTTTTACGTAGAGGCAAAGGGGCTGATTTGCTGCACCTCACCCTTAGTGTGAAACACTCCTGGTGTGGGACAGGGATACTCATACCTCGATTCAGGGCTCCTGCCTTGTCCCACTGCTTCTTGGCTGCCTCCCTGTGTGCTGCCAGCCTGGTTGCATGCCTCAGTCTCCCCACTTGCAAAAAGGAGACTGGTGCATTTTGCCATGTGAAGCTTTGAGGGCCAGCAATGGAGAAGCTCTAGAAGAGACAGATCAGCTGGGGCTCCTGGGCACAGCCTTCTCTTCATCTCCACACTGCTAAACCCTGGCTCCCAAGCTGGGAAAGGCCATGTTTGGAGTTGATGGTGGTGTTTATCAGTTCAGCTCAAAGGAAGAGGGTGAGGAGTAAAAGCAAAGTCATCCAGGACCAGCCTGCCTGGGGCTGGTTGGATCCTGCCCTCCCTTCCTGGCAGTGCCTGCTGACAGTGCTCAATCCATCCTTGCTCACAGCAAGCACAAAGCAACACCTTAAACCTGGCCAAGGCATGAAGAAGTTTGTGTCTGTTCATTACTCAGATGGGCCAAAGGTAAATGAAGTTTGGATCAGACACTGCCCACCTATTGGGGTGCTTGGAGGGGCTGTGTGTGCTTGGCCCTTTGGATGAAGGAAGCGAGTTGGGGTCCGGCTGTCTGCAGGGGTGGGATCTGCCTCGGAAGCCCCAGGGCTGGGTGCTTCTCTCTCGGTGTGTTTAGGGTGCTCCTGGTCCCAGATCAGTGTATCCCCAAAGCTCATGGTGTCTGGGAGGCTGCTCCAGACCCATTACCAGCCAAACTGACAAAATTACCTTGACGTGACAAGCACGGGGCCGCTCCACCCCAGCCCCAGCAGGACGGAGGCAGCTTCAAAAACCATCTCCCAGGGCAACAGGCTCTGACCTTTTGTTTCGCTGTTGTGTGCTCCATCACCAGGATAAATAAACACAGCCTGGCCCTGGGGCTCCCGTTCACCTTTCCAGGACCGTGGCTCTGTCACAACCTGTTTGAAAGCCATCCCCAGTCCTCAGGAAATGCCTGTGTCATGGCATGGCCCAGGCACAGCCCATGCCCACGCCAGCGCCTGGTGCTGCAGGGTTAAAGGATCAGGGAATGGAGGTGAAGTAAGGGGAAAAGCGTTTGGGTCCAGTTCAGGCTTTCCTGGAGCATTTCACTTGTAGGCAGTAGTGGTGAACTTCTCCCCTCATGGCTTTTCCTCCCCTGGCCCAGGGACAGCAGCTCTTGCTTAAGGGTCTACAAGGCCCTGTGTCTCTACTGAGACAGACACAGCACCTGCCTGGCACTGTGCATGTGTGCAGGCAGCCAGTGGGACATCCCATGGGACAAGGTGATGCCATTGCTACCAAGTCACAGACTTGTGGGAAACAACCCAGACCCATTCATGGGGAATATTTCCCCATCTAGAGCACACCTCCATGGCTGTAGAGAGGGTCAGGGGGACACAGATGGCCACAGTGGTCAGTGGAGTGTTAGCGGTCATAGTGTGAAACCCTCCTGCAGCTCAGATCCAGGCTGGACTCTGGGGTACTCCAGCGCTCTGGGATGCTGTCAGCATGGGGAGATTTTTCTGAGGGCTCCGATTGTTTGCTGGGAGCAGAGGTGGGTGGCCATGGGGATGAAGCAGGGTGGCAGGTGGGTGTCCAACCACTGGGTGTCCTACTGTTGGGTGTCCAGCTGCGGGGTGTCTGTCTGTCTGGTGTCCGACTGTCGCGTGTCCGTCTGGCTGGCCACGGGCTTGTCATGTCTTTGAGCAGACACCAGGTGGCTCCGTCTGTCCGAACAACGGGGGGATGATTGTCACTAATTCCCAAATTGCAACGAACGAACTCTGTGTTTGTGTGTGTCTGTGTGTGTGTATCTGTGTATGTATGTGTATGTCTGTGCGTCTGTGGAACAGGAAGCAGTGTCCCAGGACTGTGCGAGCTGTTGGTGGGAAGCCAGAGGATCCACTGCTCAGCCATCCACAGAAACATGGTTTCCAGCCCAAGCTGATCCCTCATCCCTGCTGCACTCCCCCACTGTCCCCAGAGTGCCAGCACTGCCCCCCTGGGGACACACAGGGGCTTGGGGGCACACTGGGGAACAGTGCTTTTGGAGCCTGCTCCCCACGTGCAGGCTGGGACTGGGGCTTCCTAAGCCCAGTTACATGACAGTGAGAGCAGGAATTCAGCTCTTTTTCAGCCATCACAGAAATCCCCTCAGGAAGGAAAGTTTTAAATACTCTTGTCCCCAGAACTGCCCTGGCACTGTCTGTTAGGGGGTCATGGGCACCCCAGAACCCCTGCTGCCAGTTAGCTAGCCCATGGAGCTAACCCCAAGGCCAGGCTGGGCAAGGCTTGGAGCAACTTGGAGTGGAAGGTGTCCCTGCCTATGTCAGGGAGTTGGAGCTGGATGAGCTGTAAGGTTCCTTCCAACCAAAACCAGCCTGAGATTTTATGATTCTATAGAGGTTTTCTAGGGTTTGATAAGGGCTGAGCTGACACCTCGACTTCTTCCTTGCTTGGTTCTTCCTCCACAGCTTCCCACTCCCACAAGGCTCACAAGAGGATTGGGAAGTTAATCCTCTTTGAGACATCAAGCTCCCTGTTGAGCAGGACTGGAAGGTCTAAAAGCTGTGAAGCACAGCAGGGCACTGGCATGGAGCCACTTTCCTGCTTGGAGCATTCCCATGGGTGAGCCTCAGCCAGCCCTGGTGGCAGTGTCCCCATTGCCACCCCTCTCCCCACCCGCCCCAGGCACCAGCCTGTCCCAGGCCCATGGCAGTCATCCCACCAGCTGGCTCCCTCCATCCCACCCTGGCCTGGCTCCTGCAGCCTCTCCACACTGGTTCCAGGGAGGAAAGTGAAGTGTCCACATGTACTGGCACAGGAGAACATCACGAGGCCATATAGCACATGGGAGATGAACAGAAGCCTCATGGTGGTGGGGAAGGCTCTGGAGGTCCAAGGGCACGGCTGAACCCCAGCAGGGGGGTATTAACCAGTAATGGGTATTACTGGAGCAGATATTTGTGTGTAAACATTCTCTTATAAACTGTACTGGGCCATTTGATCCTCCAGGAAGGGTTGCTTCAGCTCTTGGTGAGGAATTTTGCAGGCTGCTGTGCTGGTGGGCACTATTAAGGAAGCAGCTGCCTTTTCTGCTCCCCCTTCCCACCCAAACCACAAACTGTTGACATCCTTGGTTACTCCTCACCTGAAATAAGGGAGGAAATAACAGTGGCTCTGGGGGTTTAAGCCTCTGCAGCTCTAGATCTGGGACAATGATGAGGGTGTTTTGGCTTTGCAGCGGCCGCTGCCCAGGATGGGGGAGCCAGGGCTGCCCAGCCACCATGCCTGGGTGTGCAGTGTTCCTGGCTCTTCAGGCAGCTTCTGCCTTGCAGGAACATCTCCTCCTTCCCTCCCAACCCTTTACCCCTGCACCGAAGGGTGCAGCAGTGGGGAGCTCCCAGCCCTGATGCCTCCCACATTGCCCTGGCACCAGCAAGTGCAGCCCACTTGCACCCACCCTCCAGGGTGCAAACAGCAAACAGCATCCTCAGCCTGTGGTGCCTGAGGGAAACCTCCTCCCTGCTCTGCTTGTCTGCCTTCGGGGAGCATCAACCTGCATGAGAGCCAGAGCTCTGTTCTCACCAGCCCCAGCTCTTTTAAGTACTTAAACCCTCAGTGCTTCCCTCTGTGGGTTTTTGATCCAATTCCAAAGCCAGAATGGTTCTGCCCAGGGCAAATACTCAGGGAAACAATCCATTTGGTTCATCCAAGAGCAGGGAAAGGAAACCTCCCATTGCAATAACAGATAGAGAGGAGGAAAACGCAGCAGGGAAATTGTGTAGGGTTTTTGTACTCTTGTTTTCCTCACTCAAAGCTGAGAAGATGGGATTGCTGCTCCTCCATGCTCGCTCACTCTGGCTGCACACCATGAGGGGATGAAGAATACATGGAGGACACAAAGCTGCCTGAGTAGCTCTGGAGCTGCCATCCTGTGCACTCCCTGGGATGATGGGGACCCTCTGGGGGCAATTCCCAGTTTGTCTTCCCAGCTCCAGCCTGGTACCTCCGCCTACCCTTGGCTTGCAGTTAAAGAGCGTGCTGCAAAGCCAGTTCATTTCCTCCCTCCTGCCTGAGACAAGGCAACTCTGCTCCAGGTTCTCTTTGCAGCTTCACACGTCTGCTCAGGAATCTCCTGGCCGACCTTGGCCCTTCTTTAGTCCAACTTTGGTAAGTTTCCACTGCTGCCAGCTCTGGCCTACCCATGCTGGGGTAAGAGAAAACTGGTTGTGCTGGGCAGGAACCACTTCTGGTCCCCAGCTGGTTCCACATGGTAGCTCCTTGTTACGAGTGACTGCCTGGCTCCCTGGCCCTGCCGCAGGTGGCTTGAGGATGCACCAACACATGGATAGGCAAGACACACAGTCAGGGCACATCAGCACTTGCATTCCCCATGTCATTTAGGACAAGAGGAAACTGCTTCAGGCTGTACCGGGGAGGTTTACAGTGGATATCAGGGACAATTCCTTCATCAAAAGGCTTGTCAGGTTTTGGACAGGCTGCCGAGGGCAGTGGTGGAGTCACCAACCCTGTAAGTGTTCACAAACCGTGTAGATGAGGCCCTCAGTGACATGGTTTAGTGGTGGCCTTGGAAGTCCTGGGGAACAGTTGGACTTGATGAGTTTATAGGTATTTTCCAACCTGGTAGATTCTATGATGTCAGCTATGGTCTCCAAATTTGTGTGGTCCCAAGTCCTCAGCCAAACTGCTGTGTGCAAGGGGTTAACTCACCCTGGCATCAAATGTGTCCCCGTTTCTTGGTGCCATAGTGAGCACCCTGCCAGTGTATGGCAGCACCCTCTTCCCCTGAACATGGGATTGGGTCTACCCCGTCTATTACTTGTGGGCAAATCAAGAGTGTTTGCAGTTCCATCCCTTGGGACCATGGTTTCCCCTGCCTGGCTGGGGTGCAGCGGAGGAGGCAACATCTCTCTGCAGCACAGGGGCTGTGGCTCTGCAGCAACTGTCCTGTTCCAGCACCGGATCCATCCCTGAAACTTGCTGCTGGCCTTTAGCCACCAAGCCAGGGATTCTGGGGGACACAGCATTTTTATGGGGTTTCTGGGATGCTCTTACTTCATGCTTGGGGCTGCCCTGCTCATGAGAAGCAGCCTGACGTGACATCCTTCACCACAACCTGTGGCCCCATCCCTGTGTCCCCAGGTGCCTGGGCTGTCCCTGTGCTGTCTCCCCTTGATGTTGACCCCAGCAGCACAGGGAGCTAAGCTCACAGCCACACCAGTGTGGCTGGAAAACAACAAACCCACCCTCAGTGTCCTCTGCTCTCAGCTTCCCTGGGGCCACGTCCTTGTGCCAAGGGGACAGGGAGAGCAACAAGGAACCTTGAAATTGTTCCTTCCACTGCCTTACCCAAGATAAGCCTTCCCTGAGGGTTTGTTTAGTAGGAAACTTGCCCTCCTCCCAATCCCTGAGCGTTCCTTTGCTCCTGAACCCGGAGGACAAGGAATACTTGAGCAGGAGCAGCTGTACCCACCTGGGGTTAGAAACCCATAAAAGTTTTGCAGCTCCATTGACCAGGAGCTGTGCTGGGGACCTGCTGTGACCCCACGTCCTCCAAGCCTGGGAGAAGGGGGGCTGCTGGCTCCATCAGGGCAGGGACTTGGCTGGATCCTCCAGCTGCCAATGGGAAGGGGCTTGGCTTGGCAGGGAAGTCGAGGGGACATGCAAATAGGGTGACTTTGGTCAACCATGGCCAAGAAAGATGTCTATCAGGTGGGTCTGCCATAAAGGGCAGGTAATGGCTCGCTATCAGATGCCCTAGGGTGACCAAATAGCCGTGTAATGGGCCCTGCACTGGAGTGGCCTGAGGGCCCTGGGGGTGCAGATTGCAGGCTGGATAAGCCACCCCGGTAGTTCAACTCCCATCCATTATTTAAATGCAAAGGTAAATGCTTCCATCTTTTCAACTGCAATTGTGCCACCAGCTCAGCCACCTCCTGAAGGTTCCACCCTGGTGGCCCACAGGCAGGAGTCACCTGGGCTGGGGACTGCCCTTGGCAGTCCATGGCAGGGCAGAGAGGAGGTGCCACCAGCACCCCAGGGACAGGATGCACAGGCAGGTGGCAGGGTGGCACGGGGAATGTGGAACTTGGCCTCACACCCCCTTTTCTGCTCTTCCCTCCACCAGGACGCAGGTGCTGCAGCCCCATGGAGTTGGATGCTTCTTGCCAAAGGAAAAGGCTGTGTGTGTATGCAGGGATTCTGCAGGAGGAATTAGGACACTCTTGGCTTTATGGGACTGCTGCAGTACCCACCAGAGCAGGCAGAGCTCCCTGAATAGCAGAAAAGAGCAGACAGCAGCAACTCCCACTCGGAGGTTTTTCTCTTTAATGGTTTGGTTTTTGTTTTGTACATTCGTAAAACTGTGAACAATAAATACTGTGTGATCAGCCCCCACCTTCAACTCACCCCCCGGCTTCCAGGAGTGACGTGGAGAGTGATGGTGGATGGCTCGTGGATGCTGGTGCTGGCTCCATTCATGGGAGAGGTGCCCAGCTCTCAGCCATGGGCACCATGGAGCAGGGCAGCTTCCAAACATCCCAGCTCAGGGTGGCAGGATGGAGTCAAGGGCTGGGGAGGGAGAGGTGGCTCATGTGCAGACAACATCTCAGCTTAAGAGGGGTGAAAGGCAGCACTGCCTAGTGGTTTGGGCACTGCTGAAGCCCAGGGCTGCTGGTCAGATTTCAGCTACCCCTCTGGTGCCTTAGACCTTTGAGGTTCCCACGTTCAGATGGGGATCTGCCAAGAAAAATAGTGTGATGCTTGGGGCTGGGATAAGATGGGGTTCCTGGGTGTGTGAGGGACCTACACATCTGGTTGTTCCTCAGAGGAGGTAAAGGCTGGGTGGGCAAGGAAGGATTTCATGGGAAAATGGGGATCCAGCTTCTTTGCTGTGCCTGTGGGTGCTTTTCTGTGTACTGGATGATGGTCCTGGCATGAAAGATGCACAAAGAAGGTGGTGTGGGGACAGTAGGGAGCCCTGAGATGCAGGAACAGGGATGTGCTGGCATGGGGGACAGCAGCTGTGTGAGCAAGTGAGCTGCAGAGGGGTGGGTGACAGGGGGCCACAAGGTGACAGGGGGGCACAGGGTGACGCGGGGGGCAGAGAGTGGCAGAAGAGGTTCCAAAGACTGGCAGGCTGTTGGGAGTGGGTGATGTGAGCAAGGTGCTTGATGTGGAGAGGACTGCTCTGCTGATGGTCTTACACCATCCAAAGATGACAGCACTGTTCATACCCAGAAAGAAAGGCCCAGCACCATCTCCCTGTGTGCCCTAAGCAAAGTCCTTGAGTGAGAAATAAACCCTTCCGATGAGGTGGAAGCTTTGTCCAGAGAGCAATCACATGAGAAGAGCCGGCTCTTCTGTGCCTGGGTCCATCAAAGTACTTGTGGATCCTAGGTCTGACATGTGGGTTTGCCTTCTTAGGCATCCAAAGTAGGATTCTCCACTTTATATCCAGAGAAAAGCCAATGTCTAAAGCTCCCTTGCTGTACTGTGTAGGTCCCTTATTTGTGCCTTTGCTTGCTGTCCTCTTTGTCCTGCCCTCCTGTCTCCATCCTGGCTCTTCTCATTGCCACCAGGTCAAGTCAGTGAAGGCCTTTGGTGCTAACAGGAGACCCCACCACCTCCTGAACAGGAGAGTGGATGGGAGAAGAGAGGATGCCCAGCTTTTCCAAGCTGAGGCAAGCCGATTATACCTGACACAGTGGGAGGGAGCCCAAGATATGCTGGCCCAAGCATGGGGACATCCTGAGCCAGAGCAGATGCTGCTCAGCAGGGTGGCAGGGGACAGGAGGTGTCACTGCCCTGCGGTGGGTACCAGTTTGCCTATCGGAGGCAAGAGCCCGCAGTGAGCATAGGGAGAAGGTGGCCTTTTGGGACAGCAATGGGTCCTACAAGGAGCAGGCATCTGCCCCGGGTGGTTGCTCTCCAGTGCTCTGGCTGAGGGGTTGCCACTCAGCATTGGTCTAGCTTTGTCCCTTCACAGCTGACTTTAGGGTTTTTGTCCCTTGAGCTGTGAGGTTCATGGCAGCATCATCTCACCCATTTTGCTGTCCCATGTGTCATCATTTGGAGATTAGGACTAGTGGGCAAGAGCTCATGGGAGCTCTGCAGGACTGGGGCCTTTGTAAGGAACATGCATTACGTCTGCATGGGAAAGGCCATTGGTGCAGAGGCAGGGAAGGTCCCTTCTGTGGAAAGGCAAAAGAAGAAGCCAGACACCGGGGGACTGATGGAAAGGAAAAGTTCCTACAACCCAGTGGCCCCCGACACGTGACAGGAGAGCTCAGACCCAGGTGTGGAGCTGTGGCAAAGTGGTTTCTGTGATATCTTGTCATTGTGGCTGGGAGGATGTTCTTGTCTTCATAGTGTGAGAAGTACGTGGACTCTGGGTCAGTCCAGCTGCACATCCGATTCCCTGCTGTGACCCTCAATCCACCATGGGTTGAAGCCATTGTGTCTTTGCTCTGTACAAGGTGACAGGGACAGTCTGCTTCAGCGCAACCATGGCTGGATTGAGGCTTGGCCTTCCATATACCCTGTCTGGTATCTACCCATGGCAGGTGGGCTGCAGAACTCCCTGAGTGTCTCTGATGAGAGGGCTGGATGACCCTTCTTCTGGAAGCTCGGTGCTTTCAGCGCCTTTCTTATTTTGCCTGCCAGTGACTTCCCTTTCCAAGGGAGCTCCAGGACCAGGGAGCTGAGGCTGTGGAGCATGCAGAGCCAGCAGCACCGTCTTTGACAGTGGGGTAGGACAGGGACTGGCTTTTTACACTTTGTGGGGTCATCTCGGGGAGCTGGCTGGGACCCCAAGCAATGTGTCCCCAGCCAGGTAGTGGTTAAGCTTTTATCCGTGGGGGAGAGGGAGAGTGGAGAGGTGGGAGACTGGGAAGGTGAAGCATGAGGTGGTCAGTGAGATCCAGGGGCTTTCGAGCGAGGTGGACTTAGGGGTCAGCATGCAGAGGGCTGTGAACACAGCCTGTGTCTGTCTCACTGGGAAGGCTGCAGGACAGGGAGCGCTGCATGGCCCGGCAGCCCAGCGGCATGTCCTCAGTGGGGACCGGGAGCTGAGGGCCCTGGCTGGTGCTGGACCTGCCATCGGAGCACAGCAGGACGCTGGAGTCAGCCTCGCACTTGGTGGTACGGCTGTAGTAGGGCTCCATCACGCTCCGGAGCTCGAGGGGCATGGTGAGGGGCAGGACCTCAGCTTTGATGACAGCACCCAGGTGTGCTTCCGAGGAGGATGCCCGCAGGCTCTCGGAGCGGCTCATCTTTATCAGCAGGTCGATGGTTTTGTTCTCAGCCTCGAGGAGGCACTTTGGCAGCTCTCCCCCGTCTTCAGCCTCCCCGGGGGCTGTACATTTGAGGGCCCCTTGGTCTTTAATGTGGAGCTTCTCACTTCCCAAGCTCATGTTGCAGGGCTCCTTCTTGGCCTGCTGGACCTTCTCCAGGCCTTCTGAAGATCTCTTCACCGAGAGGTCCAGAGGTCCCTCATGGGGTTTGGTGGCTTTCTCCATTGCCTGGTGGATGTGGTAGAGCTCCCTTCGGATTTTGACCAGCTGGTCCCTCAGCTCCTTTTGCCCAGGGGTGTCCTCTTTCGCCAGATCAGAGAGTTTCTTCTCCACCTCTTGATACTCCTCTAAGGTTTTGGACAGCTCCCCTATAAGCACATTTGTGGCCTCAGAGTCTGTCATGGTGGCAGAAGTCTCTTGTGGTCTGCTCTGCTTGCAGGAGCCATGGTCCAGGCCATCACTCACAGGGGGAAGAACTTCAGTGTTGTTGGCCCTCTCTAGTTCCTCAGGTTGTCCTGCAAAGACCTCCATGTGCCAGTGGCTCAGGGCTTTGGGGATGTGGCCAGGGTTGTCCCTTGAAACACTGCAGAGAGGAAATGGATACAGTCAGTAGGGAAAGAGATAGGAAAATCCTTGGGCCTATGTGCAGGGCCAGCATCACCGGGTTCAGCCAGGGCTGCAACACTACCTGCTGAGGCCCTTCCAGGAAGGGCTTTGGTCTGAACATGCAGAGCCCTGACTGGACCTGCTCCCGGCATTGTTCTCCCAGGAACTTCCCATAGACCCTGACACAGGCTATTTCATGACACCCACCAACAAAGGGAGAGGCCAGCCTGGGGAGATGGTGTTGATGTGACCCCAGCTCAGCTGGCCAGTCCTGGGTTCTCCCATCTTCTTGGGCCACTGGAGAACAGTGATGGAAATGACCACCCTAGAATCCTGAAAGCCCAGTTGGAGAGAATGTCTCCAGCCAGCCTGAGATCAGGGAAGAGGCAGGTGGAGATAAAAAAACATTGAGAGCTTCTCCTAAGAAAGCTCTTCCAGGTGCCAGGGGCCAACCCAAAAGGTTTTACAGTGACATCTTCTTGGAGCACAGCTGGACGTGCACAGCCAAGAGAGGAACTGAAACTGTTCAAAAGAGCAGTGCACATTTCTAGCCCCAGGTAAAAGGAGATGTTTGGAAATGTGACCCTCCCTCTGGGCTTTGGAACCAGAGGGCAAATCAAAGGAATGCAAAAGCCTGTGTTTAAAAATAGGCAATGACTGTTCCAGCAACCCTGGGATAGCTGGAAACCCAAGAGGAGGTTCCCTGGTGCCTGGAGAGCACAGGTCCACACCACACTGACACCACACCATTGCTGGCTCCATATGAAACAGGGGACAGTGAAGGACAGCAAGTGGTGGCATCACCCAGATCCTTTGATCCAGAAGGGCAGAAAGCCCTGCTCAGGTGTGGTATGGACCCACGAGCTTGGAGTGTGCCCTGCCCTTGGAGACTCCTCTCATGGAGCCAAGTGGGGGAATCAGTAATATGATAGGGTATGAAGATGTGAGGAGGAGTCAGAGAGATCACAGGCAATTTACCTGCTCTGGTAGCTGAGTTTTCCAGGCATCAGCCTTTCAGGTCCTATCAAATCCAGCCCACTGGCAGAGAACTTCCTCTTCAGGGAGTTGCCCGGAGGGCTGGTGTTCTCCAGACAGGTCACCACTGGTAGCTCTGTCTTCCGGACGCTGCTGGGGGCAAAAGGACCATCCTTTATTCCCACCATGTTTTGGTAGATGTCAGCAGATGGCTTTTTGCGTAGGCTGCTGAGGCCCAGTGCAGGGTTGCTCTCCTTCTCCTGGCACAACCATTTCTCCTCTTCCTCCTGCCCCAGCATGGCAGGGTGGCTGAGCTCGGAGGCTGGCTCATCTCTGACACCTTTGGACCAAGGAAAACCCGTCTTCAGAACTGGGACCTTCAGCAGCCCTGGTTTGGTTGGCTCACTGGGAGGTTTGGCTTGGCTTGGTGTGGGCATGACAGAGCCCATCAGCTGCTGGGCTTCTGGCTTGCTGGAGGGCATCTTACTTTCAGTGGAGCCAAAGGTGTGCTCGAAGAGCAAGGGGTAGTAGAAGCGGGGCAGGAAGGCTGAGCGCTCAGGGCTCTGCAGAGGCTGGAACTGGGAAGCATGTGGGTGCATCAGCTGGGCTGTGGAGGCCAGAAAGGGCAGCTGAGCCAAGTGTTGGTGTGTTGTAGTACTGTTGGCCATGGTGGGGCTCAGGTAGGAGAAGAGGCTGGGGTTTAATGGGTAGTTAATACCCAGCAGTGAGAGGTTGAGGCCCTGAGGTTCGTGATAGTCGCTGTAGGCCGGAGGGGGGTAGCATGGGATGATGTTGCTGTCAGTACAAGGTGAGGAGACCTCAGGTGTGTTCCTCCTTTGCCCATTTGCCACCAGTTTCCACTGCTCCATGAGGATGCCACTGCTGGTCAGGCATTTCTTTGGCACTTTGCAATGCTTTGGCTTTGTATCTAGGTCTGGGGAGGCCATTTCCCTGCTTTTCATGACGTGGTTCTTGAGGGAGAAGACATCTGTGATGATGAAGTCGGGCTCCACCTCCTTGCAAGGCTTGTCCCTCTTGTTCTTGAAACCCAAGACCAAAGTACTCACTTCTGGTTCAGTTGGGTCACCTTGGCAACCTGACTCCACCGTTTTCTCCTTCTTCTCCCCTGCATCCATCTCCCTCAAGAGGCCAGCAACATCATCCTCCTCCTCCTGGAACTGGCCACCTTCTTCACCAGCCCCCTCACCAGCAGGCAGGATGTCCACCCCTGAAATTGGCTGGTCCTCGTGGCTGTCCCTGATGTTCTGCTTGGTCCTCACTGGCCCTCCCGACGTGGCCGAGGAGTCGCAGGTCTCCTGCTCGTCCCCACGCAGGCGGGAGGTCTCCGCTGCGTGCAGCAACCGCAGCTCCGGGTGCAGCAGGTTGCCCTTCTTGTAGGGCCAGTCGGACTCGATGAGGAGGGAGAGGGAGTTCTTGCACAGGCTGTACTTCATGTGGTTGTAGAGGTGGGACTTCTCCATGCAGGTGAAGGGGCACTGGAAACATTTGTAGTTGTATGGCTTGCCCCATGGCCTCGGGATATAGTGAGGCTTTTTCGGCTTCCTCTCCTTGTGCTTGTAGACCGAGGTCAACTTGCAGCCCACATCGTCCTTAGACATGGCGGTGGGTGCCTGGAGATGGCTCCTGGTGGGAACAGAGGGGCACAGTGCGTTGATCTTCCCACACCTCTCTGGGAACCACTGTGTACTCTGGAAGAAGGACAGCATGGAGCTGTGAGCTGCGCCTGGAGCTCCATGGGCACCTCCTGGCCCCAGAAGTGGAGCTGCTGGCACCTCATTCTGGAGCTCCTGTGGTTGGGATTTAAACCCAGGCTAGTGGTGGAACTTTTGCCCAAACCCCATTGCTGGGCCCATTATTAACCCTCTTCTGTCAAATCACCCCAAGGGAAAGGAAAACAAACACTATTAAAGGCATTGGAGCTAAACCTCCTCGAGGTGACACAGAAGCACTCAGGGACTTGCTCCAGCCCAGAGACCATTTCCCTGCTGAGGACAGGGAACAACAGAAGAAACCCATCAGCAGCCCTGGACACTGAGCTGGACACTGACCTATGCAGCTTTGGCATCCCCTGGGGTGCCTTAGTGCCGGAGCCAACAGAGATGTTCCAAAGCTCAGAATGTTCCAAAAGTAGCACAGAGCTGGGCTCAGTGAGGATACCTGAAACCCTCAATGTGCAGTCATAGTGCAAAAAGGACAGTCAGATGGACACACTGGATGGGGAGAAGCTGCTAACTGACTGACTGACTTTAACCTGGCATTGATGCTAGAAGGGCAGTCCTGCCTCCCTGGCAGCACAGGGCTGGCCCTGTCCTGTGGCAGGACAGGCATAATCCAGCCTGGGAATACATCCTGGGATAAAACACCCCTCCCAGTTCCGGGTTCCCAATTCCAATTTCAGTCTTCCCCAGGGATGAAATGTCTGGAGCACATCCAGACATCTGACAATGTTGGTCCTTGTGGGTTGTGCTGGTCTTGCAGCCTGTCCCTGCTGGAGCAGGCAGGGAAACACAGCACCCCAGCTCCTTGCTTCCCAGAGGACCCAGATCTCAATAGGATCCACACTTATGGAACTGGGCTTCTTCACAGATGGCCAAGCAGCATCTCCTGGAGTCACAGAGCACCAACATGGATGCATATGCCTGCGTCACCCCTCCAGACACTGCTCTGCCCTGGAGGAACGTGCCAGCTTCTTCCCTATTAGAACAAAACCTGCATTCCTCCTGGGGAAGGCAGTGGATTTGAGGGCTCATTCTGTGTGGTGGGGCTCATTTCTCACAGACAAAATAATTCCCCCATGTGGCAGTTCCCAGGGCAGAGCTCTGCCACAGGAGACCAGATAGCCAGGCTGGTGCGGGGACGCACAGCCCAGGAAAGGGGAAGGAGTAGCAGCATCTCCATCTCCAGCTGGAGCCATTCAGCTTCCCAGCTTCTGGGGAGGAGACACACTGTGAGGGGTGGGAAAGGCACACAATGGGGCATGCTGCAGCTTTGGGCACCAGGACCAGGAGCTGCCCAGAGATCAGTTCAGGCAGTGGCTCAAGGACCTGACAATGGTCATTGCTCCCCCCCAGAATGGAGTGTGCTCAGCCCAGCCATAGCCTGCATCCTGCTGCATGTAATCTGGGAGGCACATGCAGCTCCCAGCAGGGACAGGCACAGCAGGGCTGAAAAGCTGGGATCAGAGAGGGATGGGCAGGGAAGGGACTATTGCCATGCAGCCCCGTGATGCTCTCCACCTCCCAAGGCCGGGTGCACACCTGCTGCAGGCAGCTGCTTGCCATGATCCCATGTCCTTGGGGCTGGCTGATCACCCCAGAGCCCCAGATTTCCTCCCCTGAGTATCCCACTCTCGGTACACATGTTTGCTCTGGCCACAGCCTGGAATGCCATGTACCCCAAAGGAGCAGTAGCCCTGGAGACAGTCCCACCAGCCCCATGCCCAGGAGATGGCTGTGCTGGGCTGAAGGATGGTCCATGTTCTGCTACCCACCCTCCTCACCACCAGCACCAAGAGCATCACCTTCCTCTGGGAGGGTGGTGAGGGAATTACCTACATAGGACCTTTTCCACTTTCTTTCTGAGGTCTTGTTTGTCATCAAACAGCAGAGACTTTCTCCTGCCTGTGACAGGGAAAAGGAACAAGCTGTGCTGTGGCTTCCCCGGTGCAGTGCAGGAGGCTGCAGGGGAGGCTGAGCTGCAGGCAGTGTTTGGAGACAGCCCACTGCGTGCCCACATGTCACTTGAACTGGAATCTGACCCTGCTGCTAAGATCTGCTCTTGCAGAAAATAGGCAAAAATGTCCCCTTGTAATGAACCCGTGTCCCCCGGGATGCTGCAGGAGCTCCAGGGGTGCAGATCTGACCTGCACCAGCCAGGGCTAATCTCTCCCTTGGCTCAGGGCCTCCTGCCTGCAGGTTCTCCCAGTGAGTGACAGCCTGCCTGGAGGGACACGCTTGTCCTTGACTTCTGTGTGCGTCAGGCCTCTGAGCTGGGAGTGCTCTGCACACACTCTGCGGCTCTCAGGACAGCAGAAAGGATGCAGTGGGGTGGAAGCAAGCATCATTCCCTGGCTCCAGCCACCGAGCCTGTGGTGCCCCGAGCATGCTGCCCCGTACCCTCATCCCTTGCCCCTTCCCCCCCCCCCCCCCCAAAGGACAAGAAACAAAGAAGGGCTGAGCCAGGAGTTGGGTGCCTCGGCTCTGCTGTGATGCATGGCGCCTGTTTGCAGGTCAGTTGAACAAACATCATTTGCTGTTTATACGCCAGAGGCAGATTAAATCTTTGCTGGGAGACTGGAACTGGTTGTTCCATTCCTGCACACCTGATCCTCCTCCTCCAGTGCTTCTGTGAAAGGTGTTTGTTCCCCTCCTGTGCCCGGTGGTGCCATTGAGACGTCCGACATGGGGACAGGCAGTTTGCTTCATGGAATCATAGAATCAACCAGGGTGGAAAAGACCTTTAAGATCATCATGTCCAACAGTTCCCCAGAGCTGCCAAGGCCACCACTAAACCGTATCACTGAGGGCCTCATCTACAGGGTTTGTGAATGCTTCCAGGGACAGAGACTCCACCACTGCCCTGGACAGCCTGTTCCAATGCCTGAGCACCCTTTGGGGAAGACACTGTTCCTAATATCCAGTGAAAACCTCCCGTGGCGCAGCTTGAGGCTGTTTCCTCTTGTCCCGTCACTTGTTCTTTGGGAGAAGAGAGTGACCCCACCTCCCTAACTCTGTGGAAAGGAACAGAAAGGGAAGAGAATAGGAAAAAGCAAAGAAAAGGAAAGGGAACAAGTGGGAAGCGTGAGCCAGGCAAGATGTGCCGGAGCGGAGGCATCCCCGGAGCTGGGAGCCAGGCGCAGCAGCTCCTGGTTGCTGAGCAGTTCCCGCACCAGCAGATCTTTGTGGTCTGCTGAGTCTCTCTCTGCCATAACACATTATTTCCAGTGGGCTGTCAGCCGCGGCGGCGGGGCCGTGCCTGCGGGCAGTGTACACTGGGGACACAGCACCTGTGCCTGGGAATTGCAGCATCCCTGCTCTCCAACCCGGGAATGCCGCGGGGAGCAGGCATGGTCATATGGAGGGAGCAGACAAGGGGAGAAGAAAGAGAGGGAGAGACAAAGGGAAGGAAGAAGGGAGAGGTGCCCAGGAAAGAGAACTTACTCCCCAGTGCTCCACTACTTAAATCCCAGCCCCAGCCTGAGCTGCAGTTACAGGGATGTAGGGAAATGCACACAACCATTGAGGCAACTGAGCTTCAATGCATCAAATGTCCATTCATGTCTCTAATAACAGTCAAAAACAGATTCCCAGGATGTGCAGCAAGCATCTATGGTGCTGCTTCAGTTTTAGAATCATAAAATCCCAGACTGGTTTGGGCTGGAAGGGACCTTAAAGCTCACCCAGTTCCAGCCCCTGCCACGGGCAGGGAGACCTTCCACTAGAGCAGGTTGTGCCAAGCCCCGTCCAACCTGGCCTTGAACACTGCCAGGGATGGGGCAGCCACAGCTTCTCTGGGCACCCTGTGCCAGCGCCTCAGCACCCTCACAGGGAAGAACTTCTGCCTAAGAGCGCATCTCAGTCTCCCCTCTGTCAGGTTAAAGCCATTCCCTCTTGTCCTGTCCCTGTAGGCCCTTGCTCAAAGCCCCTCTCCAGCTTTCTTGTAGCCCCTTTAGGCACTGGCAACTGCTCTAAGGTGTTCTCAGAGCCTTCTCCAGGCTGAAAAATCTAGCTCATGTCTCTAATAGTCAAAAGCAGATCCCCACGATGCACGGCAAGCATCTATGGTGCTGCTCCAGTTTTCCTAACCTCATATCCATCACAGCACATCCCTACAGCAGGATGGGTGTTGCTATATGCAGCATGTTTCAGTTGAAGCTGTGGAGATGTTCAGCCCCCAAAGCATCCTCTCAGCATACCACAGAGCTTCATCCTCCAGCTTCCTGGGCTTGTTGGTCCCCAGTCTTTGGCTGGAGGAAGCAGCAGCCACAGTCCATGTCCACCCTTCAGGCACACAGTTCACCATCACACCCCTGCTTCACCCTCTCCTTTCCAGGCTGGAGCTGGACATAGGGCCAAACCCTTCCAGACCTCTTCCCCTTCCCTGAGTCTCTTCCTGGTCTGCAGCAGCCATTTGGAGGAAGGGGCTTGGTCTGGTGGGTTCCTTTGTCAACGCCCAACCCACCCTGCAGCCCTCTGCACCCATAGATAGGCATGCCAGTGCCCACCTTTCAGGGGAGGAGACAAAACCACTCTTGAAGTGCAGCAGTCTGGTTCAAAGACAGGTCTCCTGCAGCATGTGTGTCCATCAGAGCAGCTCTGCTACTGTGAACTTGCCCTGGTCTGCTTTTGCAGACCCCCAAGAGCTTTTCTGGCTGCAGCAAAGACCCCATCTCTCAAACCAATTTCTTTCCTTTGCTGCTGTCCTCTGAGTCCTCCAGTACTGCCTTTAGGCTGCCAGGAAGCTGCAACACTCCCATGGAAATTGGCTGCCCTCAACCTTTCCCAGATGGCTGTAGGACATGGCATGGAGGAAGGGGCTCAAGAAAGGCGCTGAAGTTCTTCACTCAGTGATGCTGGGATGAACCTCCTGCCTCATACCTTGTCTTGCCACAGAGGGCTCCTGTGAGCTGGTCCTACCCCACGTGGGTGGGAATTCATTTGCAGTCCCCAGCACACCCAGAACCAACTGC